GTCGTTGTACAACAACTGAGTACCAAAGCGCCGAATAAATTACGGGAAATTTCCCTGCGACCGCGAGCTAAAATTGGATCATAGAACTTTACCAATTATGAATAGTTATTCTGCTCCATTGCAAAACTGAGAAGACATGGACATTATTTAGTGTACAATGTGTCGTTGGCGTCGATTACATTAATTATGGTGTAAATTTATTGGAAAAAATTACATAGAATTACGTCCATGCTTTTCACGGTTTGTAATAAAAGATATAGTTCTATATTTCCTTCAGTCTGCTGACTGAGGTCTTTTTAAACTCAAGATCAATTTAGAATCTGGCTAAATAAGATGAAATTTAGACAAGGTTAACCTCGAGGCAACGCTTCCAGCGGCCTCCCCCCTTGTTGCACGTGACATGCGGAGTGCCTCGGGTTTTTGCAGGGACGGATTACATCTCGCGATCGTTGTGGATCAATGATCTATCCATTGTTTTACAGCCTGCATACTGGCTTAGTTGGCGCTGGAGAAATTTTTGGGTGAACTGGAAGGTTTCCTCTCTCACTTAAATATTCCCCTTTCCGGGTTTTTTGTTACGCGGATGCGTTTCCAAGGCAAAGATCCCATTACCACATCCCTGTAGCTGTCTACACGGATACAGAAGGACACAGGCATTTAAAGACCCAATATAAACGTGTCTGCTCTCGCTGTTCTCCGAATATTTCTTTTGGTATTAGTTGGGATAATTCGCTTGAGCGTATGACCTCAATGTTTGATTGTCAGGAGAAATTGGATATTGGTCACTGTTGCGGGATTAAAGGGCGATGGGCTGACTACCTGTCCCCCAAAGCCTCTGCTGGTCATAGAATCTTCCTAGGGGGGCCCTATGCGCTACTTGGCTTGGTGAGGAGTAAGCATTACAGTAGTCTCGGGGAGACAAATTTCAAACTCTTTTGTCCTTAATGCGTTTTCTTCTGAACGGAACAAGAACACCAACAGATAAGTTTGTTTTAAAACAAGAATCCTCCATGGCGTTCACATGGAAGCAGGGAAAACCGGCGCGCGAACCAAGGAGTCGGCCCAACGGTCTTCGCTCCTTTCTCCACTCGAAATATTTTTCGTTCGGATGTCGATTTTGGCTGCTTCTCACTTTCAAAACCCTGGAGCAGGCCAGAGACTCGAAGAAGAAAGACGTCAGTACTTTTTTTGCCCGCTTGTATATCTGTCTTGCAGAAACACAGGCTTTTGTGCTCTGACTGTGGTTTCGATCGAGCCTAACCATGGCAATTTCACTATTAACGTTGAAATACGGAAGAGATGTAACACAACTTCCTTTCCTCAAACCGCCCCTGTTACGCGAGCTAGAACAGCCTCAATTTACTTTGGAAAGGCAAACTTTCGACTTGAAAACGACATTTCATAATAGGCATCTCATCATCAGTTCCACTGGTGTGATGATTCTCTTGTACTAGTCACCTCTTCCGGCTACTCTCATCTTTCACTGCGTGAATTAACAAATATCAGGGGGTGTAATGAGCCCGTATACATGACCTATACGGAGAGATATACTGACATATAAGGACATCGATGTATAAGGACTGAGTAATGATCAGTATATGTTTGATTCCTTATTCCCTATGTATACTAGATGCTGCACATGACCGTATACTAAGTGTTAGGAAGCTACAAATTTACGTAATTTGCTTATTTATCACTACTGAAGTAATTTCTATACTAAATATTTACTGAGAGGCAGTTTTTTTCGGTACCTCTTTTGGGAACATTCTTTCTCTGCAATTTTCGAAGAATCAAACATTCCTTCCCTGAATTTTCAAAAAATAATTTTCAAATTTTCGTGCTGTAGGAACAAAAAATCGCTTGAAATTTTAATTTGCTGCGGCAATTAATGTATTTCATCGAATCTCACTCTCATTTCTTTTGCAAAGTCAGTACTCATTTTTTTTACTCGGTCAAGTGTTTATCTCTTGTTTTGAACTGGTTTAAAGTTAGGGAAATAATGCATTTTGACATTTTGTTTGGTCAAAATACTTGGTTATATGAAACGCCCTGAATTTGAAACAGATTGTGAGCGATCAAGCAAAGTTTGTTTGAAAAATGCAACCCCTACAACCGAAAAACTGCTGCAGTACTTCAGCCTTAACTTTAAAGTTTAATTGGTATGAGCTTTTCCACCCTTATTCTTAACTTATTGAGCAATGTTATTTTTTTTGGGACTGTTGAGACTGTCCGTCTCTTAAGTCCAATGTCCATTCATTCCACATCTTTTTAGCAACTCTGAAGAGGCGAGGCCGCATTTCTTTCATACAGGTTCCTCGAGGTTCTTCAAGTGATTTAAAAGTAACAAAAGACTAATAGTTCAAATCTTTGCGTATCATTTTTAATTTGTAAATAACTGTTAGACTAAAAAGTTTTTTTTAGTGAAGCAGCATATTTACCTATCATCTCAAATTACTTTTTAAACTTCCCTTTTAAACAAAAACCGTGGTATTGAGGCAAAAATTTAAACTGGAATTTAATTTTAATGACACCCCGAGTAAATCGCGGACAGACAAGTTTGTTTTCGTAGATGTAATTGGCGATGATGTTCGACGAGATTGCGCATAAAACGGTGTTAAATCAATTTAACTATACTTAAACATTTGAAAAATCGCGAAAGATCTTCATTTACACGATAATTTTTGAAGAATAACAGACTCTCTTTTCTATACTTCCTTTTTTCTTTAAAAGGTTAGACAAGTCATGTCGCATTACATCGGCTATGAATCCTTCAGAGCAATGATTTTATAAGGTTTCAGATGGCGCACTACTATTTTTTTTTTAGAAAATGTTGTTTGACCTTAAAACCTGGTAATATCTTATCTTTGTCGCACCGAGATATGATGCCTCATGAAATTTTAAATTTGTTATTCCAAATGCCAAATATCAAAGAAAGTGGTTTACGTTTAAATGCCGAACATTCGACCTATAAATAGACCTTTCCTGGCTCCCACAAATATCCATATATAAATTTGTTCAAAGTTTATCATAATTGGAAAAGTGTGGTCTGTCGTCCTGATAAGCTCACTCCTGCTAATCTTGGAAGCGACACTTCCCATTCACTCTCCCTAGCTGCTCTCTGATCCTCTGGAGTTTGATCCTCATCATCTCCAACATCTTCGTCATCAGGGTCACCATTAGCAAGCCTGCAGAGCCTATTGTCCTCCTCAGACGTTAGAGTGATGCTTGAACCCTCGGCAGTGAATCCCAAAACTCGGGTTAGAATGAAGGGGTTCGCCCTTTGTAACACGAAAGTTCCTTGTTCAGGTGCCTCTGAAATATTCAGACGGAGAGGAAATCTGTCATGGTAGTACTTTACTAGCTAAATCACCGCAGTAACATTTGATTTATTTGTGTATTTCCATCACATGAGTGAATTGTTTACGATTGACTTCTGGATAAAGGACATCGTTCATTAATTTCCTTGTAAATTTACTTTCGAAATAACTGAGTTACCTCACCGAGACTTGATATATCTACCTGAGTCTTGTGAGGCGGCCGCAGATGTCATGGATGGCCACAAGAAACAAATTTGCATTCACTAGAAGTCTGCAAGAAGTGGTTTATTTTTCAAGTCTGCGTTGGCAGCAAATGAGTTACCAAGTTTTCCCCGATTATGTGATTAGCACTGAATTCACTCAAGAGGAGAATTTACAGGTTGATCGTTATCTGACATAAACTTACTCATAAGGTTTGCCAGTGTCTTCTCCTTCGATAGTGAACGCATGACCATTGACACAGTGCTCCATAAGCCAGGTCATCTTCATAGTATCAGCTAAAACCTGAATATTGGAAAAAAAAAGACATCAAAAATCTGTTCGGACAAAAAAAATTGATTGAGAGGCACTCGATCCGTCAAAACGGTTCTTCCCGCCTACTTTTTTAGAAGGTATATTTCATTATCCTGCATCCAGTCGAAGTTAAGCGGACTCATTTTTTTGCTTTACACTTTCTTTTTCTAACTGTTACTCAAGAACGTCTAATTTTTGAGCTGATGCTCAATGTTCCAACGTTTTTACGCGTTATGTCGGAAAATTGTTCTCGACATTATAAATAACATGGCAGAGAAGTCATCTGCATGGTATCGGCGATACACTGGGTATGTAGACAGAAATGTGTAAAACTTCAAGAATTCAAAATTGTCTTGTCCTAGAAAACTCCAAAGATGTCATTATCTTTGCCGAAAGTTTATCCGGTATAACATCATCATACATTGATTTAAACGCTCTACAGATTAAGGTTGACCTAACGACACTGGGGACGAGTGACAGTCCTTGTAACTATTTTTCGAACCTCTCCATTTGGCGCCGATATTATTGCTAAAGCATTAAAACATTGAAGTTCAACGTTTCAATGCTTTGGAAAGTTAGGGCTGAATTGGTCCTAAGGCGGAGTTTTGCGATTACATAGTGTAGTGTAACCATAAGGTTTCAAAACTTGGTTGAATCGAAAGAAAAAGTAATCACCGAGCTGCAGTTCACTTACTTGCTTTGAATGAGGCATTTCCTCATTTCCTGAGGCTCAAACCCTCCCAACAAGCAGTGTTACAACTCGACGAGTCTGTATGGCAAGCGCTACAAACTGATGACGAACCTAAAGCTTTCGCAAAATTTATATAGTGCTACGAACGTGACCAGCTAAGCTTCAGAAGATGCATAATTGACTCTATGATCTGACTACCAGGCAATATGCGCTACTTTACAACCATGGACGTGACTCTTGCTTAAGCGGGAGTGGCATTTATGCGACTATGAAATGCAATGTATCTGTCTTTCAATGCAATGTATCTGTCTTTCAATTCTCTCAGTGGGGATGATCAAGCTTATTCTGTCTCTCAGGTTGAATCTTGTGTTAGAGATATCGACCGTTGGATGTCTTGTAACAAACTTAAGTTGAATAGGGACAAGACGGAAGTGCTCGTTTTCAGTTCAAAATATCGGCCACGCCCATCTTTGGATAGTATCCTGATTGGTGATCATCGTGTAGAGCGGTCTGACAAAGCTAGGAACATAGGAATTGTTTTTGATGAGACCTTGTCACTGGATAAGCATGTGAGTTCCGTTTGTAAATCTGCTTTATTACATCTTCGGAATATCGCTAAGATTAGAATGTATCTGACTTTTGAGAGCACAAAGACCCTTGTCCATGCTTACGTTACTTGTCGACTGGACAATTGTAACTCGTTGCTCCTCGGGTCACCGGACTATATTATTCAGAAGCTCCAGCGCGTTAAAAACTGCGCCGCACGCCTTGTAGCTGGGCAACCTAGGGCTGCGCACATTCGCCCCGTCCTTAAGGAGCTACACTGGTTACCTGTGGAGCAGCGGATTACCTTTAAAGTATTACTGTTAACTTTTAAAGCTCTCAATAATCTGGCGCCTCCGTATTTAAGTCAACTTATAGTCCCATATAACCCTACAAGAAATCTTAGGTCTGCTGGCAAACATTTATTAGAAGTACCGAATGTGCGCCTGAAGAGCTATGGGGACAGGGCCTTTTCGGTCGCTGCCCCAAAGCAATGGAATGATATTCACTTAGACATTAAATTAAGTGGATCAGTTGATGTTTTTAAATCTAGATTGAAAACTTATCTTTTCATTTGACTTTTTGTTTTAGTGTTATTGTTAGTTAGTTATTTTCTTTTTTGATTGTAAGGCGATATAGAGCTTTTGTATATACCGCTATACAAATAAAGTTATTATTATTATTAATGTCCTAATTACAAATAACCCACTTTGACACCATCCTGAATTCTGTTTTGTCTTCTGCTATCTAATGCTCGACTTAGGGAAACCAAAACCACTTAAATGCACCACTACGCGCCCCAGGTTGGAGGATTCCCCCCTAAAAAAATTTACCCGTTTCCGTCCCGCATTATGTAACCATGCGGTAATACAGGTATACAACTACATGATGTATCTGTCAATGCTAGAGTTAAACAAGCCTGCTACGTGAATAATGTATTGATAGAATCGCCTTATCATACTGCAAAATAAAGGATCTTTGTCTGTACAAGCATAATACAGTTCTGTCTAATAGGCAATTTCAAATACTACGTGACAAATTTTCGTTAATTGTACCACTGTAATACAGTTTAAAAAAAAAGATTCTTTATTTACCTCTAGTCTGAACTTCGCATGATATTGCTGTTACTGTTTGCTTAAGTCCATTTTGGTTTTTTAATTTGGTTGCTATTTTTTCTCCGATCTATCATCACTGCTCTTCTGAATACTCCGGAAATTTCTCTTTTACAACTAAAAATATAGGGATTACTTTTAACAAGGTTTTTAATCCTATAATTTTTTTAACGAATGAGTTCTTTCTGACATACGTGAGTAGGGTGTTGAAAATTTATTGGACTGGAAGGATACTGATCTTTTATAAATATGCACTTAAACAGTGGATAGCGTCGAAGGCGTGTTCTGACTGGCTACTGAACTCTGAACTGATCCTTTGTTATTCTTTAAAGGGTTACTGACGGTTAAAGGGTCACTTTTTCGGAATACCGTCTAAATGCCTCAGATAACACATTGAAACAGATACAAGGTGCTTCGTATGCCTCTCCGTGCCTTTTTTCGCCGGGAGAACGATCCTAATGCAGCTTCTTGAATCATGCGCCATTAACGCTTCGATTCTTCGAACATAAAATAGGGCACGAGAGTCAAAAAAGGATCATGGGCCCGTGCGCCGCGGCCGCCTCAATCAAGAAAGCGAGAATGGTAAGTAAATTTACGCTTGTAAATAAATTTTCTGCAAATCAGTCGCTTGTTAAATGTAGGAGCGATCAAGTAAAGAAAGCCAAATGTGCAGACTCTTGAATACCATGAGAGCGAAGTGTTTCTATGCTACACGTACGCACCTTCCGAAGCTAAGGTTTCACTGACTGAAAATATAAGCATGCTCACTTGCGGAGGTTAATTGGATGGATTATATACATTTCAACGCAATTTAATCCGTTTTAAGTTTTCCTTTGTTGAGTTTGGCGAACTATTAAAGATTTCTCGGCTTTTAATTTTAAACACGATTCAGCAAAATATAGTATTCGCATATGCTAAATAGAATATTGTCTTAATGTTAACTTATTGTTTACTTCTGGTCTTTGCACCGAGCTGATAACTGTTCCTTTTGGTGAAACCAATCAAACAAGTTGTGTTCTCTATTTCTTCTATTCAACATCCTAAAAAAATTGCTACTTTACCGACTTTTTTTATTACAAGGTGTCAGTGTGGAGACTGCCAATCAATGTGGAAGGAGAAAGAAAACATATTTTGCCAAGAAGTAGATGTGGTCAAAAATAAAAATTTGGAGGATGTTACAGTGGAAAAGTTGCAGGCAGAAGCCAGATGTATTGTCCAGCATCCAGGGTTAGGGGAAACTGGTGAAGGCTGACTCCGTCTGCATTTTTTTTGGTACAAAACATCACTACACAGCGCTTCACTGGTTTTCGTTTTCTTTGTTTTACATCGTGTTGTTTTCAGTCAGGTTTTGATAACTTGAGCGTAAACATATGTATATATATATATATATATATATATATATATGTATGTATATTTTAGAGTTCAGGTCGTAATTTGAGAAACATTACGTGCTTGTTATTTCCGTAGCACGAGTTTGTCGCTGACTCGGTTCCTTTTTATCGCCAAAGCGCTGCGTTTAAACGGTGGGTACAAGGCAATCCCATGACATGTGCTTTAGGATCTCAGGCTGTCGGCTTGTTTTATTTGCGATAAACGAGCGTGAGTAATTTACTGTTCACTCAGCTGGAGTACTCTCAGCTTGAGACGAAACGTATCGAAGGAAATAAACAGAAAGTTACAACAGCAAGAAGTCTTCTTTTGTGCTGTTCACTAGTCTCCGCTAAAAAAAATAAAAAAGGATAATTCTTGTACATTTCTGGAACGTGGAAGAAGAGTTTCGTTCACGAAACCAGATGGTGACCTCCCATAATCCGCGACAACACTTAGCGCTTAGTCACGCTCACTCCAGAATCTGTGGGGCTGAGGTCACAGTGATGTACAGCGGACAAAATCTAAAGTCCAATACTTTTCGGCATGGACTAAACATATCTCTATAAGTATATGACTCGATAATGATTAGGAAGAACAAATTATGGGAATATAATTTTTTACAGCTGTTTGGAAAGGCGTGCAAATAACCTGTAGCTCTGAATACAGAGAACCGATCCGTCGCCTTTCGATAACTCAACCTTTATTATCTTATTTCTCACTTCGTCAAGGATAGCAATCAAGCAATCAAGGATAGCAATCACTCAATCTTTATTGTACTCAGCAGGTAATTTAGTGTTAACAACTGAGTTGATAACGTAAATTGGCCACCGTGAAGGGTAAAAACGCTGACGTTGCGAGCGTTAGCCCTTCGTCAGAACGATTCTTTGTACTCACTCCTGCTAAAAAAATAAATTACAACAATTAAAATATTAAAAGAAGAAATTAGAGAGCTGGCTGTCTGGAATAACCATGGGGGTTAGCGGAGATAGGCAGCCAGTTGACATTAGCATTAAATAAAATTAAATTACAGGTCAGCAAGAAAACTGAAGCACAAATGCACACATACGTAGAAAAAGGGAAAAAAATTAAAAACAAAAACGGAGAAGAGGAAAAACGCTATTTCTACAATATGAATGAAGTCTAAAATAGTTAAATTTATAAATGAATACAAAATATCAATATAAGAAAAACTTGAAAAGGTGACAGAATTTAACAAAAGGCTAATTTACAGGTTGAGGTTCAGATTCAGTTTGGCCCAAGGAAACATATTGATATCTGTTGGTAAGATAAGAGATGAACCAATCTTTGGTTACACCTCAAATGCCATAATACTATAGTTTTTCAATCAAGATATCATATTTGACAGTATAAAAGGCTTAACTGAAATCAAAATATATACCACAAGAAAATTACTGGCATTCAATTGTATGTTGAATCAAGTCATTGATGCTTACGATAGCATGATCCGTGGAGTGATTCGCACGGAAGCCAAACTGCTTGCAATAAATTACTTTTTTCTTCTCCAGAACTTCTAAAATTTGTTTATGCATTAACTTTTCTAACTGCTTGTTGGAAATATAGAGAATAGAAATGGGACAATAATTATTTAGACTTGTTTGCACGCCCTTTTTAAAAACAGGGGTAACTTTAGCTATTTTAAATAAATCAGGGGCAATTCCTGTAGAAAAAGAAGCACTGAATATAACTTCTAGAGGAGCAGATGTAAAATGTTTGATAGCTTTTTAAATAGCAACTCGTATGCTTTAAGGTCCAGTAGACTTATAAGCCCAATAATTTCATTTTCAATTTCAACTGCTGTTGTGGGAAATATAAAGAAACTATCTTGAGATGGAGATGTGAGATACTGAAGGAGGAATTTATTTACACGAGGAATATTCTTTGTCAAATTAGTTCCAATATTAGCAAAGAAATTATTAAAAGCATCATCCATTGACTTAGGTTCATTGAATTCAGCATCCTCAACAAGTAATTTAGTGGGAGCAGAGCCAGATCTGGATTTAAGATTAACAAGTTGTCCTATCCCCTTTCAGAATTTCTTAGAATCAGACATGTTTACAGGGAAATAATTATTATCATAACTTTTTTTACTTACTTTTAATGAGTGATTAACTTTATTTCTATAAAGTTTGAATTTGGTGAGATAATATACAGATTTAGTTTAAATATACTCCTTGAAAAGTTCATTTTTATGTTGATTGAGACCATGGCTTAGATTTCACTCTTAATAAACGTTTGGAGAGTTGTATGAGAGGGATATGAACAACAGTTATGCCAGAGATTCTAGTTTTAAAGGAGTCAAACATTATATTGGGATCAGGATTAGCGTGTAATACACCTTCCCGATCAACTGACTGGATATCTTGGATTAGAGCAGATTCATCAAAATTAGAATAATCTCTTTTGTAGATCTTTACATTGATAGGTAAAGATGTGAATTTTTGAATAATAAGGAAATTAGGTAGGTGATCAGTAAGATCATAAACAATATTCCCACTTAAGGTGGGGAACTCCAAAGAATTGAAGAAAATGTTATCAATTAGAGTTTTTGAGTGCTCAGTAATTCGAGTAGGTTGTAAAATGTGAGGTTGAAAGCTGAAGGACCCCAAAGTATTTAAAGAATCTACTGTATCTGGGTGAGAATCCAGTTTAAGAAGGTCAAGACTAAAATCTCCCAAACTGATGCAGAATTTATTCTCCCTATCAATCTTTTCAATAGTAGAGTTAAGAAAATCCTTAAAGTTTTCCATATTACCATGTGGATGCTGGTAAATCATACCACAGATCATGTTACGTTGAGATTCATTTGCATTTCTATCCATAGTGCCTCAAAGTCATTTGTCGATAATGTTAGATCAGGTCTGGTTGTAAATAAATGATCCTCCTTAATATAAAAACCAAATCCTCCAGCATTTGAAAGACTGGATTGAAAAGTGAGTAAATAACCTGCCAGCTTTAAGCTTGATCCTAGTGAGACCTACCACTGAGAAAGGCAAATATAACTCAGACAGCATAAGTTGCAAATTATCAAAGTTAGCTGACAGGCTCCTAATATTGCAGTGCAAAGCAGAAAAGCATTTGTTAAAAAAATATTCGTGTATGTAATAATTACCATGAAAATCATTAGAATTATAGTACTGAAAACTTATATCATAGGGTAAGTGGAGATCAACATCAGAGCTAGCAAGATGGTCCAAACTAGTCGGGGGAGAGGTAATCTCAAGAAATGGCAAGGAGGCAAAGTCAATGACCTGTTGAATATAAAAAAAATCATTGTTTCTACATCTAAGGTAATTCATGACTATGGTGGTATCATTACTACGTAGGACATTTCTTCGCCTATTTTGTGTAAAGCTTTAGCATCGGTAATCTGAATTACCTTGCTACCTTCATGTTGGTACTTCCTCATGAAGATCTTACCCCCACTGGTCCACAAGAATTGAAAGCCTTTGTCTTTCTTGATTTTAAGACAATCCTTAAAGAATTCTTTATTGCTTTGAGTAAGACTTTCATTGAAAAGCCTAAGTCTTGCGATGTTATGTCCTTAAGGACCTTCCTGGCTCGATAAAATTTCTCGCGGACATCCCGGCTCGTAAACTTCACAATAAAGGCAGGTGGATAGATAAATAGATAGCTTTATTAAAATCCATTGCAGCCAAAAGGCTGGATTACGGACTGTACAAATGTTTACTTAATACTAAATACAAAAAGAATAAAAAAAACTAAAAAAAGGGGCATAATTGCGTCCATACTGGAAATAATACCTTCTTCCATCATCTGCATTTTCTCGTCACATGTATCCTTGTTCTTTACAAGGTCGGTGATGTTAACTTTTTCCAAGAATGAGCTCAGAGCGACCTGTAACTTTCCCGCTGGTCTCTTGTAATGATGGATCGTTTTGAAGGTTGTGTTTTGCAGCGAGACAAGGGCTGGAGTTCAACAGGTGCGTGGTCTAACAGATCGAAGGCTGGGCGTTTTATTGGCTCCTCGTAGAATTCTTTAATGTTGGTCTAAACGAGGTCTAGAGTCTGATTTCCTCGAGTATGGAATTTAACAATTTGTTTTAGCCTAAAAGCGTTCCTAAGTCTCGAAGTGTCGAGCCTGTTAAAATCCCCAATGATCAAAACTCCACATTTCGAAAAGAGCGATTCAATTGTAGACATTGAATCGCAGAGATAATGCAGAATCTCAGGATCAAAACGCCTTTGTCTGTCTGCGGGTGATAACGTAGTTGAAGCCAAATTGCTTCAATTTTATCGTCGTATAGATCTTCTAGAACGATGTACTTCAGCCCTTTATTGATGTAGGTACAAACGCCTCCATGTGTTACGTCAATCCTGTTTCTTCTCACTAAGTTGTATCCAGAAATACTGACGACATTGTCGTGAATGTGGTCGCGCAACCAGATCTCTGTTATGCAGGCAATGTCCAAATTTTCGTATGTAATAGCATAAGAGACTTCATCCAGTTTGGGGGCCAAAGACATTACGTTCGACAATAAAACAGACGGAACGTAGACCTTCCTCGCTCCTTGTTGGTCTTGTTGTGATAGAGAGATGGTCACACAGTTAACTTTATTTCGGTGTCGCCGGGAGCTTCGTGAATGATTGATACGGTTGGTTAGCTGCACTTCGATGGAATAGCGACATCTGTTTACTCTTTCCTTCGCTCGGCGGCCGGCTCTTTTCCCTCTGAAACAGGGCCACACGCGCCTAAAATCCTTAGAACGACTTCGAAGCTGGTAAATCACCATAAGACTTAAAAATAGATACAAATTTTCGATAAAATATACGGAACAAAACAAACAAAGCTCTTTCTCCATTCGCTTTCACTTTACCCGGGGGACGATGGCTCGTTGATATATCACCATTTTTCAGGTCAACCTCAATCTTTCGACCGATCTCTACAACAATTTTGTTCATATCTTCCCTCCTGTCACTAGAAATCTTTGGAATACCTCAGATTTCCAAGCAGTCTCGTCTGGAGTATTTTTCAAGTCCGTCAAATGATTCTTTTTAAAGCTTTTAACTGGTTTGTTGTAGCCAGGAGCTTAGCTTTTAGATCCTTGTTCTCATTAACCAGTTCTGTCATTCCTTCTTCGTAGCTTGACATTTTTTTAGTAGTTGGTTATAATTAGAGTTTGCTGTGGCGATAGACTTCCTCACTTCATCAATCGATTTGCGTAGAGGCTCTAAAGCCTCCTCCAACAAATTCTTGGATTCTTCTGTCGTTAGACCTCCCATAATGGTACACAGGACGACATATAACGCGAAAAAAGAAGAAAAAGGAGGAAAACGCAGCTTTGATAAGCTAAATTTACTGTAAATTTAACAAAGCTCAAAAATTACCGCCATCTTTCTCGCTGACCGCAAGGATGGGGTGTAACACTAAAATAATACAAGATAAATAACAGGAAATAAACTGAATTGTGTCTTCGTGGATGTATTGCTTAATATGTTATCTACTGCGCTAGCTAATTAAGGCCACAATTTTCAATTCATTAATACTAATCGCATAACGTGATGACGTCATAAACGGAATTCACTGCATTACCACTTGCTAGTCAGAAGAACTGTGAGACACCACTGGATTTTGAACGCAACTACTCCAAGCATTATTCAATAAAGGAGCTGTTTAAAACCGTGGACTGAGTTAATCTTCGACTGGCAAAATATTCAAAGACGAAAGTATCAAAGCGACAACTGGATAAGCGAAGATGGAAAACGCAGCCGAAATCGAGAAGGCTAAAGGCAAGCGTACAACAGCTAAAGGAAGATTCACAAGAAAGAAGAACTTCCTCACCAAGTCGATAGACAATAACCAAGGCGTAGAAATAGTTGAAACAAACTATGCGAAACTCGCGGAAGCGTACGATGAACTCGAAGGAAAACATGAAGCCTACATCGAGCTATTGCCAGACGATCAGTCTGAAGAAGCAGAAGTGTGGATGACAGAAGTCCAAGAGAAGTTTAATGAGGCGACCAATCGCAAAATCAAATATGTGGAACAAATCACTGTGAAAGAAAGATCAACACGTGCGTACGCGGAGCGTCAAGAATACATTGATAAAGCACGCACAAGACAGAAAACAGCGCGCGCAGTTTTCGAAGCTTCATACAAAAGTATCTCGCACGCGCTGCAATCTAAAGAAATTCCCAACTTTGCATTGAGAGATTTACAAATGCAAATTGAAGAAGAATTTTTGGAATGCAAACGATCAAACGCAGAACTACTACAATTATTAACTCAAGACTCAGCAGAAGCTGAAATAAATTGGATCGCTACAATCCAAACCTGTTATCATGAAATAAAGGAGAAAATAGCGCTAAGCTACACTAATGTGGAAGAAGCTAAAGAAACAAAGCGGGAGTCTACCGCCTCAGCTTCCTTTCTACAACTAGAAAAAGTACGAATGCCTCACTTTGACGGAGAACTGCGCAAGTATCCGCAATTTAAAAGAGATTTCCAGAAACAAGTTATGACTCAAATCCGAAAAGGTGACGCAGCGTACGTCCTACGCACCTGTCTTAAGGGGAGCCAGCGAGATTGGTGAACTACGTAGACGACGACATAGACGAGATGTGGCATCGTTTAGACGACAAATATGGAGACCCAGCCAAAGTCGCCGATGTCATCATTGACGAAATAAAGCGATTTAGAATGCTCAGAGAAGGAGAAGATAAACGCTTTATAGAATTTGTAACCCTCATAGAGGATGGTTATCGTAACCTAAAAGGACTCGGCTTGGAAACAGAGATCACGACCACAAGTTCAGTCAGCGTAATTGAGAAAGCACTCCCGTCAGATATCAAACGGAAATGGTCCGAACGGGTAAGCTCTCGTGACAGTCTTGTTGATAAAAGCAACAAATTTCCAAGTCTTCTCGACTTTCTACAGAGTCAAAGGGATGCCATTGAATACGAAAGTGCTACACTCCGTGCAGGAAGCAGCAACCAATATCACAAGGGCGCAGCACATTACTCGGAGGGTATCACAGTTGGAAAAGACGAAAGTATCAAAGAACCTAGGCCTAAGTGTCTGATTCACGAGAGTGGTAAGCACTGGACGTCAAATTGCCGACTTTATCAAGCTAAGACAGTCGACGAAAAAAGGGATTTTCTCAAAGAAAAGCAAGCATGTTGGGCTTGTCTTAAGCCTGGTCACAGGCAGTGGACTTGTAGGATAAAAAGAGATTGCGGCGTGAATGGCTGCACGAGGAAACACCACCCATCAATTCACGAAAACGATGAAAGTACACCCCAGCAAGCTTCTGCCTCCGCCAATGTATGCAGCGACTCCAACGTCGATACATGTCTTCTCCAAGTACAGAGAGTAAAAACCAGGAAGGGGACAGCTAATGTAATGTGGGACAACGCAGCCTCACTTTGCTTCATAACCAACGCTAAAGCGAAACAAGAGAAACTCAGTGGAGTCAAAGTGAATCTTTCAATAGTGAAGATAGGAGGGCAGAACGAGGAAATCGAAACAATGAAATACAAGCTGCCACTTTGGACAAGCGAGGTCAAGCCGTGGAATTCGAAGTATATGGGATTAACAAAATCACCTCTGATATCGAGCATGTAAACGTAGAGAGCATCGCCCACCTATTTAGAAACTTTTCAAAGGATGAAATAGCGCGACCCGCTGGTCCAGTTGATGTGTTGATCGGTTATGAATACGCCGCCTTTCACCCGGAAAAGGAACAGAATAATGGGCATCTTGTACTACTGAAAAATCGTTTTGGAAGATGCGTTGGAGGAACTCACCCACTGCTTAAAGAAACGCGCATGACCCATAATCTTGGAAACGCGAGAGTACACTTTGTAGGCAAAATCAATGTCGAAGATTTTTACACAATCGAGGCACTTGGTGTACAGTGCAAACCGAAGTGCGGGGATGTAAGTGCGGAAAAATGCTCCTTGGGCGCCAAAGATTATACCATACAGGAAGAAAGGGAACTGGAGTTAATTGAGCGGAATTTACGTTTCAACAGTGAAGACAACTCATGGACCGCTGAATACCCCTGGATAAAAGACCCCATAAGCTTCCTAACAACCGCAAAGTAGCGATGGCGAAATTAGCTGCTACCGAACGACGACTCAGAAAGAACGCAGATCACGCGAAAGTGTATGACGAACAGATAAAGGACATGGTGGCAAGAAATGTGGCAAGAAAGCTATCCGAGGAAGAATTAACAAACTACACAGGCCCTACGCATTACATTGCCCATCACGAAGTACTCAAACCAGAATCGAAATCTACTCCAGTCCGTATAGTTTTCAACAGCAGTGCGAACTATATGGGGCACGTATTAAACGAGTATTGGGCAAAGGGACCTGACTTGCTCAACAACTTGTTAGGCGTCTTGATACGCTTTAGAGAGAACAGAGTTGCTTTCATGGGAGACATTAGGAAAATGTACCACACAGTGAAAACGTCGGAGTTAGACCAACATACTCACCGATTTCTTTGGCGCGACATGGATAGTACGAGAGAACCAGACACCTATATAATACAGCGAGTGTCATTTGGAGATAAACCGTCCGGCACGATCGCCACTGTAGCATTGAGAAAAACGGCAGAGATGATGCGCAAGAATTATCCGGAAGCAGCAGACATAATTCAAACCAACACTTACATGGACGATATCATCGAAAGCAAAGATAACATTGCACTGGCCCGTGACCTTAGCCAAGACATAGAGAAAGCTATTATTATAGGAGGATTTCAAGTTAAAGAGTGGATATTCTCAGGAGATATTAACAAGCAAGAAGAAACGATCATGGTACAGACACCGCATACGTCGACCGAAAAGATACTTGGGATCAAATGGAATCCATGTGAAGATCAGCTATGTTTTGAAGTCAAGATCAAGTTCTCACCAAAAGGAAAGAGACATGCTTTACAAACAAATAACGTAACCACAGATTTTCCCCCTCAACAACTCACGAAGAGGATGATTCTCTCACAGATCAATAGTGTATATGATCCTCTCGGACTAGCTGGACCGTTCACTGTAAGAGCGAAGATTCTAATGCGGCACTTATGGGGAAGTGAACAGAAGCTTGACTGGGATGATCCCATTCCTGAAGAGAATAGAGAGAACTGGATAACCTTCTTCAAAAATTTAAAAGACATGGATCAAGTACGATTCATGAGATGCGTGAAGCCGTCGGATGCAGTTGGAGAACCTATTCTCATTATATTTAGTGATGCATCTCAAGACGCCTACGCTGCATGCGCGTATGTACGCTGGGAACGGAAAAATGGTTAATTTGAAAGTAACTTGATCATCTCTAAGAATCGCCTAGCTCCAATCAAAAAAATATCTATCGATCGTATCGAACTATGTGGAGCAGTATTGAACAAACGTCTCAAGATCTTCATAGAGAAAGAATGTAGATACCAATTTCAAAAAATCTATCACATTGTTGACTCACAAATAGTACATGCTATGATACAGAAAAATTCCTACGGTTTTAACACCTTCGCTGCCACAAGAATTGGAGAAATACAAGAAGGAACAAGCCAAACAGATTGGTACTGGATAGAGAGCGAACACAACATCGCTGATTGTCTCACGAGAGGGAAGAAGCCTAGCGATATCGGGCTCGAAAGCGCATGGCAGAAAGGACCCGAATTCCTACGACAACCAGAAGATGATTGGCCAATAACTCGCAATTATTTAGAATCACAACTGCCAGACCGAGTCAAGACGGCAATGGCTATAAAAATCGAAGGATTTCAGGATACCCTTGCAGGAAGGATTGATATCGCCAAGTACTCAAATTATAACAAGCTCTTAAGGGTGACGGCAAGAGTTCTGAAACTCTATGACAGAAACCCCAAAACATCTCTGAAAAACGCAACACGTGATCTCACACCACATGATTTGGAAAGGGCTGAATTATTTTGGATACGAGAAGCTCAACAAGACATGGGGAAGGATATCGAGAACGGGAATTACAAAAGATTATGTCCTAAGATGCGAGAAGATGGTATATATGTGATTAGAGGACGAAGCGAGTTATGGATGGAGATGAGCTACAACAAGAGAGAAGTAATACTCCTTCCATACGATCACCCATTCTCACGTTTATTTACAGAGCAAATACACAGAAAAGGGCATCATGGGATATTAACTACAGCCAGCAAAGTGCGTACCAGGTACTGGATCCCGAAACTGTTGAAACTTGTGCAATCAATCAAGTCCAAATGCGTCGTTTGTAGAAAACTTGATAAAAAAGTCAGTGAACAAGTAATGGGCAACCTTCCAACTGAAAGGCTGAAACCAGCCCCTCCATGGAGCAGTACAGGCATCGATTTATTTGGACCTTACAAGATTCGCGATGAAGTAAAGAAAAGAACAACATCTAAGGCGTATGGAGTGATATTCAACTGTCTAGGGACAAGAGCAGTTTACTTGGATATAGCAGCAGACTATAGTACAGACAAATTCCTAATGGTCTTCAGACGATTCGTGTCACTACATGGTTACCCATCTAAGCTATTCTCAGATAACGGTACCCAACTCGTCGCAGCAAATAAAGAGCTTTCTAATATGACCAAGACTTGGGATTGGAATAAACTAAAAGGTTTTGGCATAACTGAGGGATTTGAGTGGATCTTTACATCCGCAGACGCACCCTGGCAGAACGGAGTCACAGAAGCTCTCATAAGATCTGTAAAACGAGCTATTAACGCTTCTATTGGCGATAGTACCTTAACATTCTCAGAGTTACAAACAGTACTTTACGAGGTCGCCAACTTGCTGAATGAAAGACCAATAGGAAGGCACCCTGCGTCACCTGATGACGGTGCATATCTTTGCCCAAACGATCTTTTGCTTGGTAGAGCAACGGCACGAATACCAAGTGGCATGAACTTTGACGAGCGAGCGAGTAATAGAAAACGGTTTTCGTTCGTACAAACGATAATATCTTCTTTCTGGAAGAAGTGGACGCAAAATTACTTTCCCAGTTTGCTGATACGTCAAAAATGGCATACATCCCACCGTAACTTAAAAAAAACTGGAGATATCGTTCTTATACAGGACTCGAGCTTGTTAAGAGGAAAATGGAAGATCGGGAGAGTTTCTAATACATATCCAGGAACGGATGGGAGAGTCCGGAAAGTAGACGTCGAATACAAGAACATAACAAATGAGCCTGTAACTAAATATAAAGGAAAAGGCTATATAAGTGTACAGCGACCAGTACAGCGCCTAATATTAATACTGCCTATTGATGAACAGTGACTGAACTCTTAAATTTACTTGTAAATCGTATACTTACTATACCTCATTTCAGATGGGGGAGTGTATTGCTTAATATGTTATCTACTGCGCTAGCTAATTAAGGCCACAATTTTCAATTCATTAATACAAATCGCATAACGTGATGACGTCATAAACGGAATTCACTGCATTACCACTTGCTAGTCAGAAGAACTGTGAGACACCACTGGATTTTGAACGCAACTACTCCAAGCATTATTCAATAAAGGAGCTGTTTAAAACCGTGGACTGAGTTAATCTTCGACTGGCAAAATAGTGGATTTGTAGACACTCAGGATCAATGATTGATGCCGGCTCTCGATGAGGGCCGGCCGTCAATTAAGCGTCGAAACAAATTTGAAGAAAATTTGGTTTTACGCAATATGTCCTTTATTTGCGCATTTTAGGATTCTTTAACCTAAGAGGAATGTATTGGGACAAGGGGGAAAAATTTGGCGTCAGTTACAATTTAAGCAACTCGCGTCGGATTTGCGGGCAAAGATATTGTAATGATCGTTGCAGGAATAAATGAGATAAAGTTGTGTTTTCGTGGCATATGTGTTCGCCCAGGGAAATTGCAAAAATTGGAATTGGGGCTGATATATATTGGAAAATCAAGGTAGAAATTATGGAGCGGACGTAACTTAAATTGGGTTAGTCTCTTTAAGTTTTCGACCGTGCATGATCTGGACAAGAGCATAAGGCGAGCTTTAAAAGCGTCAACATAGAAAACAAACATGGCGGATCGACAATTCGCTCCCAGACAGTAAGAGAACAATAACATCATTTAAAGATTTTAAGACAGCCTTAAAGAAAAAGAAGAAGAACTTTTGGTGATAGTTTTAACTAATGTATTTTAATAATTTAATTGATTTAAATATTTTTCTGTCTCGAAGATATTCGCTTAACAGAGTTACTCTGATAATTCGAATTGAAATGAAATGTATGTATGTATGTATATATGACACGATCGAACAATTGTCATTTAAAAAGGTGTGTAAAACGATACAGTTTTTAGATAAGTAGACTCCAGGGTATCGAGCAACGATACTCGTGATATCCAAAGGTCTTCTGCGCCTGAAAAAGAGGTCGACAGAAGAGAAGATACCGGGTAAGATTGCAAAAAAAAGACAGTTTCAAAATTTTACGTATGCCTAGATATCGATCTTGGCGAAGATCTGTTTTATGAAGAAAAGTTTTGGAAGAAAGAAGAGAGATCTTCCGAGTGGTATTCATCGCGCTTCCATCAGCAGAATTCCTAGAGATTTGGTGGGGCGTTTAACATATTTGTGCCCTTTCTATTTTAATTATATTAATTAATTTTAATCAGTATTATATAATTAAATTAATTTTAAGTTTGAGGCAGGACACAAGATGTGTAAACAGCGAAGAAACTGCCTTTGTAACCGACTTTCGACTTCAAAATGATCAAGACGACAAACTTCACGTATGGGGAAATTGTTGAAGACTTTAACCAAAGTCACTTGGAGAAAATTAAAATCAAATTAAGTAAAATTACCGCTAGTGAGCACCTCCCTTTGTTATGTTTTAGCTCAAGAACGAAAACCATTTTGTTCATTTTAAGTTTTCAGTCCGACCCTTGTCTATTGTATATGGTAACTTTTAGTGATCTCAAAGGTAGAAAAGAATATATATTATGCATGAAAACCCAATGATGCTGCGCGCGTCATAAACAGGTTAAAACTTCACGGAGGCACCTTAAAAGTTACATAACCTTATGCAATATTACCTCATGCAATATTAATGAAAAATTGGAAAATCGACCCGCGACAGTTTGCGCGTTACATAACAAAGTATGCAATATCACCTTATGCAATATTAATGAAAAATTGGAAAATAGACCCGCGACGGTTTGCGCGTTACATAACAAAGTATGCAATATCACCTTATGCAATATTATGGAAAAATGGACCCGCAAGAGTTTGCACTTAGAGGCCACTCGACAACAGGTGCTCTTCTATTCATGTTACAAGCCATTTACGAGGTAGTAGATTGTGCTCATCTACGACCCGGGTCTGTTTTGGGTTGGGTCAGCCTGCTCAATTCGACCGTCTCTGACATTCACAATTTTCTATGGATCACAACCCGAGACTAAACCCTATTAAATGTAAAGAGATGTTAAATAACTTTATGTTATATCCTAACTTTACTCTCAGACCACTAGTCGTAGGCAACCACGGCAGAGAACGTGTATCGTCATGTTGACTACATATTCAAAAAGCTTGCAAGTTTTCAAGTTTTTAGGTTTTCATTGTATCATAACTCGTTAATTCAGTGAGCTACTGCAAGAGAGTTTAATAAACTGTCATTATCATAGTAATATTACCTTATACAATATCACCTTATGCAAGGTAGTATTACGTAACATTCGGCGGCATCTGGTAAAGTTTGTAAGGAATCCTCTGTCCTATGGGGTTCGCCTCAGATCGTTTTAATCAGTTTTAAAAATATCTGACGGCGGTAGCTCGCCGGAAACGCTTAAAAATGAGGTTAAACGCACGCGGGCGTTGAAGGCTTTCTTAGTTCGTTTCTTTCCTTTTTTAACTCTTTGTTTGAATTTACTGTTAAAACTGTCAACGATAGAGAACAATTGTAAGAAAGAAAAGAGAACCCTTCCTCAAAAGTGTGTTACGTGAGCGACAATCGTTCATGTCACAGTCTGATTATCTCTCTTTGGCAGATAATTAACGAAATCTTTCGATACCTAAAAACAACTTAAGTCTATAGTTACATAACTGATTAGCCTTGAAAATTACTCTGCCAGTTTTGCACTTCAGAACTGTGGAATCGCTCGGTTCCACCGAGTTCTTTTTGGAGAAAAAAAAAAAACAGTCTGTGGCACTTCTTTTAATTACATTATTAACTGGTGTTAGGGTCTGTTTATGCCATATTAAACCTTTGTGCTTTGTCAATTCATTATGAAAACAGATCACGGACAACTTGGCTATTTTCGGCAAAAGAATCTCCAAGGCTAGAATGGGCAGACAGCCAAGCCTAAGAGATAACACAAACTGTCTGAAAAGTGTCTAAATTTGTATACACGTTATCCGGCGCGTGAGACATTTAATTAATCCTTGTCTTTTTGGCTTGAGTGGCACCATATAAATTTGGCAAACCAATAAGGCTCACTATCAATTTCCTTCAACTGCAAGACACACCTCTTAGACGGAAACAGTGCTCGTTGCTCGACTTTGCGAAGCGGATTTCAAGATGTCTCATTCAAAACATGTTAGTGAATTGTATTTTACATAGAATAGAAAAGGCGGGTTAAGTGCCTCTCTGGTAAATCTTTTTCTCCTGAGAGATTTTGATAATTTTCTACCAATATTCAGGTTTTAGCCGATACCATGAAGATGACATGGCTTATGGAGGGCTGTGTCAATGGTCATGCGTTCACCATCGAAGGAGAAGGCACTGGCAAACCTTACGAGTAAGTCTGTGTGAGATAAAGATCAACCTGTTAATTCTCCTTTTGCCTGGAGGCATTGCTGGTCTAACCAAAGCCAATTTGATTATTTCAGTTGTGTTTCTTGCGGCCGTTTGTGTCATCTGCGTATGGCTGTCTTGGAAAAAGGGGTCTATAAATCCAAGCCTCATATAGGAACTCGCCAGAGGTTATTGTATGCAAGTCACTTATGAGATGAAAACGCACCAAAATAGTCATATGCTAGTGATTTCGTTAATATAATACTACCATATCGAAAATATTCTCCATCAGAATATTTCAGAGGCAAACAAACAGGGACGTTCCGTGTTACACAGGGCGGACCCCTTCCATTTGCCGTTGACATAGTGGCACCGACTTTGAAGTATGGATTTAAATGTTTTATGAAGTACCCTGCTGATATTCCTGACTATTTCAAGCAAGCATTTCCCAAGGGTCTGACATACGACAGGAAATTAACATTTGAAGATGGAGGGTGTGCCACGGCCACCGTGGAAATGAGGTGAGTAATTCCTCACTATTTAAGTGTTAATTAGCTTTTTAACTTGCAGACTGCACAAAAATCTTTGAGTTATGTCTGTGGATGATCGAAAACAAAAATCATGTAAATTTTTTTGCATATTCTGCAACACTACACAAAGATGGCTCGAATTGAAAAAGTGAAAATTCACGACGGATTTCCATACTGAAGAACATCACAGAAGCTTCAAAAGTGCAGTATACCAGCGATACCGGTTACTTTTAAAATATAATGAGGGAAAACTCGGTTTGTACAAATTGACCTAATTTTTTTACATTCGTCTAACATAGTAATCTAACCTGTTGATTTAGAGGTTTTTTTCCCACTAAAATCTTGTTACCTCGTAAGGCAAACTCAAAATGTATGTTTAATCATTTTGCTTTCTGAAATGCTTCCTACTTTGACAGCCTCAAAGGCAACACTCTTGTGCACAAGACCAATTTCCAAGGTGGCAACTTTCCCATCGACGGGCCTGTCATGCAAAACAAGACGCTTGGCTGGGAACCAACCTCGGAGAAAATGACTCCTTGCGATGGAACAATCAAGGGAGACACTATCATGTACCTCTTGGTCGAGGGAGGGAAAATGCTGAAATGTCGATATGAAAATAATTACAGGTAATTACGTTGGCTTCGACTGCTGTGTAGAGACATGTAAACATATATTCAGAAGCAGTGCACCCGAACGTTTAGTGTCACCTCCGAGGTTTGCACGTTTCTTCATTCGCCAAGTTTCCGAATTTTGGGATCATAACTTTTCAATCGCATCGGATTATATAACTGCAAAGCGGGATAAAAAGGCCAGTTGTGGACATTTGTCTGAAATTATTTTGATCGCTTACGATTATAATTATGACTCGAACGCTCTCTTCGGAAACCTTCTTCATCTTTGTGGTTACCAGGGCGTCGAATTGGATGACTTGATATCTATACTGCTCATTTCAGCCAGAAATAACGGATCATTTTTGATTTTTTTTCTCCAGAGCCAAGAAGCTGATACACGAGATGCCACCGAGCCATTTTGTGGATCTCCGCCTTGTGAAAACCAACCTTGATAAGGAAGGTTTGAAGTTTCAACTGGAAGAACATGCCGTGGCAAGAATCCTCGAGGTTTGAGGATTACTGGGGAGTCACTATCATTGTGAGTCTCGACATTGTTTGTAAAACAACATGAGATGAATAAAGAAGAGCGTTTTCAACCTCAAATGTACGTCGGTCTTACATGTTTTTAAACTTTCGCCTGATTATGAGGAGTTATGAAAAAAACGAATCAAATCCCTGCCGTTATTATTCGTTGCTTGCAGAAAGTGCGTAAAGTTCGCTTCACAGTTGCCAAGGCCCAAATATTTCCTATACTGACCTATGGTGATTGCATAATTTTTATTTCAACTTATAAATCATTCAAATCTAGAAGATATGAGGATTGGTGCCAAAAAGAAATTTTAAGCTCAGCTGTCCCAGAAAACAATTCACTTTTCGACCTCCAGACACTTTCCCAAGAAAAGATAGTATGAGTTAAAGAAATTTAAACCTTTCTACATGTAAACACTAAATTGATTCGTGCAACTCTTCATGAAGAAATTCTTCCCCTGTTGGAACCTATTGAACGAGATGACCTCCATTGTTGAGCCAAGATTCGTATCACCTTAGTAAAGTTAATTCACAAATTCCCCGCTTTGGCTAATAAGATTGTAAAATTTTGAAGAAGACAAAAACCTTGAGTATGAAATAGAGGATATTATATGGCTGTGCAGAGATAAGAAATTTGTCTTCCAGTGTTTAAAAACATTCCACGAGTGAGCGAATATGTTTTCTAAAACTCATTTATAATGCATGAGGTCATTAACTAATTGTGTGGCCTCATTTGGGTCACATGGATGCCCCTTGATACCCGGTAAAGAACAGATCCAGACACGCGTGATTAGATATCCAAACACGTGTGTTTGGAAATCAATTTCCAAAATAATGCAGTACTTGAACAAATGTTTATTAACTTCCAGGATTATAGTAATCATTCTTTGTAGTTAACATTTGCGTTTACATTGCAATTCAAGAACATTCCAGAATTTCTCTGATTTAACATTCCACGTACACTGCTTTCACCTTCCAAAAGTTCACTGCTAGTACTCGTGGTTTCCGTTACGCTACTAGATGAGCAAGATCCACGTGGTTTAGACACTTTAACACAAAAATTGCAAATGGGACGCCAATGCAAAGTGTGACTGCTTTCAATGAATGAAGTTACTTTCAATGAATGAAGTGAAAAAACATAACATCTTTCATGACACTGACTAACAACCATGCACAAGCGACAATGAAACAAAACAACACAAATACTGACTATTTACGTGAACGTTCTGTTTTTGTGTTTATTGTTAATAAATTAGGCCCTTTTGAGGAGCCATTTCATAAACTCGAGCTTCATGTTTCAGCAGGATTTTCAAACACTCGAAAACAACAAAAACACTCGGCCTTCGGCTTCGTGCTTTCATTAGCTTTCTCGTGTTTGGAAACCCTGATGAAACACTCGCCCTCTCTTATGAAATATTGCATCTTTACCGTGTGAAGATATCACTTTTCGCGTGAAAGCTTGTAATTACTTAGTGTTCATTGGTGTTTTGTATCATAGGTTTCGTTGAGGGATTTCATTCTCTATTCGATGCAAATCTCGCTCTTTCTCTACCTTTAGCTTGGCAAGTGCAAACGTGATCCTTCTATTCAGTCAGGGAAAAGCACATCCTCTTCAAAAGACACTAACTCTTCTCGCATGCAAGTCATCAGGAACTCTCACACAGCAAGAGGCATTTTGCAAAAAGCTGCCAAAATCATCTTGCACTCTTAGAAAGGGAGTGCACAGAAGGAGTGTTCCATTCACCTCAAGAAGTGGTTGTTCTCGTGCCCTTCAAAGCCACTCCAACACAAGCTTTAGATTTTATGATGGATCTTTTTTAACCAGGCCGGGGCTACAGTGCTACGAACACAGTTAGATCTTCCTTATCTCAGGTACTACCTATTTCTTCAGGAGTTCATTTGGAGAACTACCAATTATGAAGCACTTTCTTAAAGAGGTTTTTCAGCAAAAACCTGCTTTAGCAAGATATACTGTCACCTGGGACCCCTCTAGGTTGTTAAACAATTTGAAGACTTTGACTCCAGTTAAGGAATCAACATTGAAATTGTTCACATAAAAAAATGCTGCAATGTTATCAGCACAGAGAGGTGCCAAACTCTCCAATTCTTGGACGTTTAAAACTTGTTGTTGGACGTACTCAATTGGACACAAACTAAAGCAAACCAAGCCTAGACACGAGCTGGAGTTCCCAGGTTATCCTTCAGACGCTAGTCTCTGTGTTATTGTTATTATAAAAGAATATTTAGAACGTACCAAACACTTTCGTAAGGGTATTACAAGTCTATTTGTTACATATGTTAAACCATACAAAGCAGCTACTAAGAGTACTATATCTCGTTAGATTAAGAACACTTTTGGTATTAACATAAGTCTTTCTAAACCTCATAGTGTTAGGGCATCATCAACCAGTGCAGCTGCACTGGCTAAGGTACTTCTTGATACCATTCTCCGAACTGCTGGTTGGTCAGGACACTGTACCTTTGCAAAGTATTACTAAAAACCAATCCGAGAACATGAGAATTTAGCACAAGTTAAAGCTTGATGGTAATTCTTAGGAGTCATCGCGAGGTATTAGGGATCACATGCCCACCCTTATTTGCGTATGAAATAAACCCACCCAATTTATAATTTTTTTCGCCTTTCAAAGTTGATTTCACAATCTCATGTGATCCCTAGAACCGCATGATGACTCAACTGCATTCCTATCAAACTTCAACTTGCAAGTAAGTCTCGTTCAACGCTCAATTTATTAAGCTCCTTATTTAAAACGGTCGGAATTTGCTCAATGAACTAATTTGATAATTGGCTGTCACTCTAATTAAATCGCTGAGTGTTTGAAGTCAGCAGGGCAAAGAAAATTAATAAATTCCAGATGTTTTTATATTTTTCTGCTTTCAAACATCTTATTCTATGAAATCAAGCGGAGTTTTTGATGGTCTTATCTGGATTTGAGCAATATCAAACAAGAAAGAAAGTACTCTTGGTCAATTTCAGAAAGCTCTCAAAGAAGTGTTTATAAATGATTATAAATGACGAACCCCTGAATAAACGAAAATCAAACTGAAATGCTTTTTATACACCTTACATATCACACAGTTTAAGAATACAAAAGACTTTTGCAGCGTGATACGAGGACCGGGCTTTTAAACTATTGAAATTTTCGATGTCGTAAGAGGGCCTTTTGCAGCTTTGACTGTGGAGAGCTCAAAAATTTTATTTTAACGTATCTCCAGAAAATAATGTGGTTTTATTTACCTGCTACAAAAGATAATTTATTGGGAAAAGTTTGAGGGAAAACTTTGTTCCCATGCGAAATGCCCTGGACCACTCTTACAGAGACCTTAAGTATTACATCTTGATTTAAATTGGAAGAATTGAAAAAGATCTTCCCGAGTAGAAATTGTTTTCGAAAGTTTTGGTCTAGAGGATATTGCACATGCAAAGAACCAACGCTAAGAATAACACACGCTTGTACCAAACATGAAATAAAATAGATTCGCATTAAAAGCAATACAATAAGACATTATGACAGTAAGACTGGAGATATAAAAATGTAATACTTTGATCATGAGTAAAAATATGGTTTCGTTTAATTAGATTTCATTCTTTTAAAATTCAGGCTTTCATGTTTGTACTTCGGTTAAAGCTGGTGCCAAGCTAAAAGTAGAGACAGAGCGAGATTTGTATCGAATAAAGAATGAAATATCTCAACGAAACCTATGATGCAAAACGCCAATGAAATACCAAGTAGTTATACGCTTTCACACGAAAAGTGAAATCTTCACATGGAAAAGATAACATGTTCGCTCACTCGTGAAATATTTTTAAACACTGGAAGACAAATTTCTTATCTCTGTGCGGCCATGTATTATCAATTATTTCATACCCAAGGTTTTTGTCTTGTTCAAAACTGTAAAATCTTATTGGCCGAAGGAGGGAATTTGTGAATTGACTTTATTTAGGTGTTACGACTTTTGGTTCAACGATGGAGGTCATCCCACACAATTACTCCAACAAGGGGAGAGTTTATTCATGGAGAGCTGCATGAATCAATATAGTGTTTAAGGGTAGGAAGTTTAAAGTTCCTTGAACTCATATTATCTTTTCATGGGAAAGTGTCTAGAGGTTGAAAAGTAAAGTGATTTATAAAGTTGAAATCAAAATTATGTAATCACCATAGGTCAGTGTAGGAAAAATTTGGGCCTTGACAACTGTGAAGCGAACTTTATGCACTTTCTGCAAGCAACGAATAATAACGGCAGGGATTTGGTTCTTTCCCTTTCATAACTCCTCATAATCAGACGAAAGTTTAAAAACATGGAAAACCGACGTACATTTGAGATTGAAAACGCTCTTCTTTATTCATCTTTTGTTTTTGCATAAGCAATGTTGAAATTCACAATGATAGTGACTCTCCTGTAATCCTCAAGCTTCGAGGATTCCTGCCACAACATGTTCTTCCAGTTGAAACTTCAAACCTTTTTTATCCAGGTTGGTTCTGACAAGGCGGAGATCCAGAAAATGGTTCGGTGACATCTTGTGTATCACCTTCTTGGCTTTGGCGGAAAAAAAAAACAAACAAGAATGATCCGTGAGTTCTCGCTGAAATGAGAAGTTTAGTAATTAAGTCATCTACTTCGACGCTCTGGTAACAGTGCGTTCAAGTTGTAATTAATCTGTCAAAGTAGGAAGCATTTCAGAACGCAAAATGAATAAAACATACATTTTGAGTCCACCTTACGAGATAACAAGATTTCAATGGAGAAAAAAAACCTCTAAATCAACAGGTTCGATTACTATGATAGAAGACAAAAATAAGCCGCAAAGGAACATGATGACGAATGAATGACGAATGAATGACGACTTTCATCATGGAAATCCGTCGTGAATCTTTGTGCAGTGTTGCAGAATATGCAAGAAAATTTATAGGATTTTTGCTTTTTGGTCATTCATAGGTGATACTCTTAATTAGAAACGTTCCCTTATGTATCAAAGACCTTTGTGCAATCTGCAAGTTAAAAAGGTGATTGAAAGTTAAATAGTAAAGAATTACTCACCTCATTTTCACAGAGGCCGTGGCGCACCCTCCATCTTGAAATGTTAATTTCCTGTCGTATGTCAAACCCTCGGGAAATGCTTGCTTGAAATAGTCAGGAATATCAGCGGGGTACTTCATAAAACATTTGAATCCATTTTTCAAGGTCGGTGCCACTATGTCAACGGGGAACGGAAGTGGTCCGACCTTTGTAACATGGAATGTCCCTGTTTCTTTGCCTCTGAAATATTCAGATGGAGAGGATTTTCGATATGGTAGTATTTTATGAAGGAAATCACTGAAGTAGCATATAACTATTTTCGTGACATTTCCCCTCTTTCGAAGACAGCCATACGCAGATGACACAAACGGCCACAAGAAACATAACTGAAATAATCAAATTTGCTTTGGTTAGACCAGCAATGCAGTCAGGCAAAAGGAGAATTTACAGGTTGATCGTTATCTCACATAGACTTACTCGTAAGGTTTGTCAGTGCCTTCTCCTTCGATGGTGAACGCATGACCATTGACACAGCCCTCCATAAGCCATGTCATCTTCATGGTATCGGCTAAAACCTAAATAATGGAAAGAAAATTATCAAAAACCATTAGGAGAAAAAGATTTTCTTGAGAGGCACTTAACCCACCTATTCTATTAGCTACGTCAGCTACAATTCACTTACTTGCTTTGAATGAGGCATCTTATAATCCGCCTCGCAAAGTCGAGCAACGAGCGATGTTACCGCCCAAGAGGTGTGTCTTGTCGTTGAATCAAACTTGTAGCGACCCTCCTTGGTTCGCCAAAGTTATTACGCAAGCCAAACAGACAATGATCAATTGAATGTCTCATCTGCCAGACAATGTGTATACAAATTTATACCCTTTTCCGACGGTTTATGTAATCTTTGAAGCTTGGCTGTCCGCCCACTTTGACCTAAGAAATGCTTTTGACGAAAGCAAAAGCATTCCTTGCTTTTGTAACAACGTTGTCCGTGTCTGTTTTTATAATGAACTAACAAAGCACGAAGGTTCAATATGGCATAAACAGACTCTAAATTTACAACATCAGTTAATAATGTAATTAAGGAAGTATTATAGACTTTGCTTTTTTTCTTTTTCTTTCCGAATGGAACTCGGTGGAAGCGAGCGATTCCTCAGTTCTGGCCTGCAAAACTGGCAGAGTAAGTTTCAAGGCTAATAAGTTATATAACTATAGACCTAAGTTGCTCTTGGGTATTAAAAGATGCCCTATATTATTTGCCCAGCGAGAGATAATCATGTGAATCCATACTTTAAGCTCGGTGCCAGCATGTCAAAAGCCGGTTGAAGGGGGTTTGCCCTTTGTAACGCGGACTGACCCTGTTTGTTTGCCTCTGAAATATTCATTGTTGTACCCTCGGCTTAAAAGATGTTATTTGTTATCTGCCTTACGAGAGATAATCATTTCAAGCCATACTTCAAGGTCGGTGCCAGTATGTCGAAGGCGAATACAAGGAGTCCGCCCTTTGTAACACGGAATGTCCCTGTTTGTTTGCCTCTGAAATCTTCGTTGTTGTACCCTTGACTATCAGCCTGCGTGCATTTTACGTCATTTTGAAGCATTTTCGGTGAGCTACCGCTGTTAGTTTTTTTTTTTAACGTCTGAAACGATCTCAGGCGAACCTTTTAGAGCAGAGGATTCATTAAAAACTTTGCCAGATGCCGCCGAATGTTATATAATACTACATTGCATAATACTATGTAACTTTTAAGGTGCCTCCGTGAAGTTTTAGCCGTAAGTCTATAGTTACATAACTTATTAACCTTGAAACTTACTTTGTCAGTTTTGCAGGCCAGAACTTTGGAATCGCTCGGTTCGACCGATTTCCATCTCGGAAAAAAAAACAGTCTGTAATACTTCTAATACTACATCATTAACTTTTGTTGGGTAAATTTAGAGTCCGTTCATGCCATATTGAACCTTCGTGCTTTGTCAGTTCATTATGAAAACAGGTCACGGACAACGTTGCTATTTTTGGCAAAAGAATTCCCAAGGTTAAAATGGGCAGACGTCTAAGCTTAAGAGATTACAGAAACTGTCGGAAAAGGGTGTAAATTTATGTACACATTATCCGGAGGATGAGAGATTTAATTGATCATTGTCTGTTTAGGTTGAATGGCACCATATAAATTTAGCAAACCAAGGAGGGTCGCTATCAGTTTGATTCAACTGCAAGACACACCTCTTGGGCGGTAACAGTGCTCGTTTCTCGACTTTGCGAAGCGGATTTTAAGATGTCTCATTCAAAACATGTAAGTGAATTGTAGTTTACATAGCTAATTTAATAGGCGGGTTAAGTGCTTCTCTAGAAAATCTTTTTCTCCTAACGGTTTTTTTGATAATTTTCTTCCAATATTCAGGTTTTAGCCGATACCATGAAGATGACGTGGCTTATGGAGGGCTGTGTTAATGGTCATGCGTTTATCATCGAAGGAGAAGGCACTGGCAAACCTTACGAGTAAGTTTGTTTCAGATAACGATCGACCTTTTCTCCTTTTGCACTGATATATTGCTGGTCTGACCAAAGCAAATTTGATTATTTCAGTTGTTTCTTGCGGCCGTTTGTGTCATCTGCGTATGGCTGTCTTGGAATAAGGGGTAGATCGATCCAAGCTTCATATACTAACTCGTCCAGAATTCATTGTACATAAGTCACTTATGTGATGAAAACGCACCAAAAGAGTCATGTGCTAGTGATTTCGTTTATAAAATACCACCATATCGAAAATCCTCTCCATCTGAATATTTCAGAGGCAAACAAACAGGGACGTTCCGTGTTACAAAGGGCGGACCCCTTCCATTTGCCGTTGACATAGTGGCACCGACCTTGAAGTATGGATTCAAATGTTTTATGAAGTACCCTGCTGATATTCCTGACTATTTCAAGCAAGCATTTCCCGAGGGTCTGACATACGACAGGAAATTAACATTTGAAGATGGAGGGTGTGCCACGGCCACCGTGGAAATGAGGTGAGTAATTCCTCACTATTGAACTGTTGATCAGCTTTTTAACTTGTAGATTGCACAAAGATCTTTGAGTTATGTCTGTGAATGATCGAAAACAAAAATCATGTAAACATTCTTGCATATTTTGCAACACTACACAAAGATTTGAGCTCGTTGTGAAAAAGCGAAAATTCACGACGGATTTCCATAATGAAGAGGATCGTGGAAGCTTCAAAAGCGCAGTAAACTGGCAATAACCGGTTAATTTTCAAAATAATTGGGCAAAACTCAGTTTGTATGAAGTAGCCTTATTTTTTTTATATTCGTCACTTTCTTCCTTTCAGGCTAATTTTTCTTTCAACATAGTAATCTAACCTGTTGATTTAGAGGTTTTTTTTTTCCATTAAAATCTTGTTACCTCATAAGGTGGATTCAAAATGTACATGTATGTTTTAATCATTCTGCGTTCTGAAATGCTTCCTACTTTGACAGCCTCAAAGGCAACACTCTTGTTCACAAGACCAATTTCCAAGGAGGCAACTTTCCCATCGACGGGCCTGTCATGCAAAACAAGACTCTTGGCTGGGAACCAACCTCGGAGAAAATGACTCCTTGTAATGGAACAATCAAGGGAGACACTATCATGTACCTTTTGGTCGAAGGAGGGAAAATGCTGAAATGTCGATATGAAAATAATTACAGGTGATTACGTTGGCTTCGACTGCTGTGTACAGACATGTAAACGTATATTCAGAAGCAGTGCACCCGAATGTTTAGAGTCACCTCCATGGTTTGCTTGTGTTTTCTTCGCCAAATTCGCTTAAATTTCCGAATTTTGGGATCATAACTTTTCACAGCATCGGATTACACACCTGCAAAGCTGGATAAAGGTCCATTGTGGACATTTCTCTGAGATTATTTTGATCGCTTTCTATCATAATTACAATGCTTCTTATTTCAGCGAGAAATCACGGATCATTTTTGATTTTTTTCTCCAGAGCCAAGAAGGTGATACACAAGATGCCACCGAGCCATTTTGTGGATCTTCGCCTTGTGAAAACCAACCTTGATAAGGAAGGTTTGAAGTTTCAATTGGAAGAACATGCTGTGGCACGAATCCTCGAGGTTTGAGGATTACTGGGGAGTCACTATCATTGTGAGTCTCGACATTGTTTGTAAAACAACATGAGATGAATAAAGAAGAGCGTTTTCAACCTCAAATGTACGTCAGTTTTACATGTTTTCAAACTTTCGATTGATTACGAAGAGTTATGAAAGAGAATGAACCAAATCCCTGCTGTTATTATTCGTTGCTTGCAGAAAGTGCGTTAAGTTCGCTTCACAGTTGTCAAGGCCCAAATATTTCCAACAATGACCTATGGTGATTATATAATTTTGATTTCAACTTTATAAATCATTTAGATCTGGAAGATATGAGGATTGGTGCCAGAAAGAAAATTCCAGCTCAGCTATCCCAGAAAACAATTTACTTTCTGACCTCCTGACACGTTGCCCGAGAAAAATAATATGAGTTCAAGAAACTTAAAACTTCCTACATGTAAACACTAAATTGATACGTGCAGCTCTCCATGAATAAACTCTGCCCTTGTTGGACTAATTGAGCGGGATGACCTCCATTGTTGAGCCAAGATTACACTCGTTTTTTATTGCTCAAGTCCAGATCAGACCATCGAAAACTTCGCTTGATTTCTTCTAATAAGATGTTTGGCAGCAGAAACACACTTACACTTGCACTTACTAATTTTCTTCGCCCTGCTGACTTCAAACTTTCAGCGATTTTGCTAGCATGGCAGGCGATTATGCAAATTATTCATTGAGCACACTCCGACCGTTCTACGTAAGTAGCTCGATAAATGCTAGATTTCACCATTTTAAGTTGAAAAGATAATAAGAGAGAGCTTTTAGACCCCACCGATTGATACTCTTTATCCCAAAAAACCTTGGGATATTTGGGCATATTTTTGCCAAACCTAAGGATTCTGTCTCGAAAGAACAACGAACCGACGCCATTTATTCTATTCCTTGCAATGAATGCGACAACGAATACATCTGACAGACCAAACATCAGTTTGATGCACATCTGAAATAGAATAAAAAAGCGGGTTACTTTTTCAAAAAGGAAAATTCAGCTTTATCGGAGCACACATGCCTAACTAACCATACATTTGGGTGGGATAAGTCTAAATTAATACCACTAATCGGCGTTACCACCAGCGCCTTCGTTAGGAAACTTGGCATATTAACTCCGCCCACGCTCCTTTAAATCGTGATTATGACGGCTCACTTCCTGACGCTTATTTACACCTCTTCAGAAAAAAGGCAGCTAATCAGTGATCATATAAAAGGACCTCTTGTTGCAGCGTTTAGATCACCCCTGATGAAGGCATTAGACAGGGGTGTCGAAACGTTGGGTCTATGAATTGTAAGTAACTTTTAACTTCAAGGAATCAAGAATTTGCCGCTTGCACTGATCCTGGTTTTCTGTTCTCAAGATATGCCCTCTCTATTCAAAGATCTTAGCGGCAGCATATTTTGCTTCATACAGATGGTCTTCCACTTGAACCTTACCCAACTGCATTGTGTACTCAGAAGTAGTACCTCTTACTACTTCAAGAACGCTCTCCAGCTTCTCACAATCCACACACCTCCCCTTGTGGCTAATAACACTGACTTTCAGAAAGTATACAGTCACAGCGTTGTGACTGCATACTCTTTGAAAGTCAGTGTCAACAGCATAGCTCAGTGCAAAGACCCCACAGTGATCGGCACATTTGCTATCATCCTTTTTGCAATGATTACGGTATGTAGTCTTGAAATACAACTTGCTCTCCTGCAGCCTCTTGCCAACTTCTTTACACCAATCCTGTTCTACTCCCATGCGTTCCAGTTCGTCTATCATCCGCCCCCACAGCTGCAGTATTTTCTAGACCCCAAAATCGGATTTCCTTTGTGTGGCCTCTTGAACTTCTAGTACTCTCCACATCTTTGCAATGGTTCATGTATTGATTAATAATGGTGCACTTAACCACTGTGCGCACCACGTTAGGTATGAAAAACTCTTAACCGTTCTCGAGCTCGATGGTGCGAGTACCGTAGGCTAGTCTTGATAGTAATATAGCCTCATAGTGAACTCTAAGAAGTGGTCTAGCTGACGCTGTTACGTTGTTTACGGATTCTGTGACGCTGGATTTTTTCAGTAGACACTCCAGGCCTCTCACTCTTCGCCTGTGCTCTTGCCCTCTTTATTTGTCTATCGGAGGGGTTTTGAAATTTCTGATGTATGCGTTTAAGCTCGTTGGCTGAGAATCTGTTAGCATCAATACTCAGTACCTAAGTGTTAACTGATTTTGTGGGAGCATTCTGATAGACGACCATAAGGGTTTGAAGGCCAACATCGATAGATGTCTTGCACTTCTGCTCATGGTCTACGACCGCTTGGATAACGCTTTACTATCTCATGGAGCCATGACATCGCACACCAGCTGGCACGCTTCCCCAGCTTTTTTAACAAATCCAGATTTTTCAGGAAAGGAGCATTTTTCTCAACAATTTGGGATTCTAAATGTGTAATCCTGAGCTTTTGTATAGCATCGGCAAGGCTATCAATGCATGCACTGAAGACTTGAACTGAATCTTAGACATTTCCCCTCGCCGGTCTGAAATCCTGTATTTCTATATATGCTTTCGTTAAGCGCCAACACGGCTGAAGGAGTCCACATTTCATCATTGATACTATGTGATAGCCTGTAAGACATTGGTCTAATAGGTGAGCTCATGGCTAGTTTGAACATTTCTAGAGCAGGATCTTTGCCTGTTCCTCGATAAAAGATCTAAGTTTTAGATGAATGTTTACACATAAGCTGGGCAACATGCTCTCAGTCAACTGGGCGCGAGTGATTAAAACTAGCACGGGCGAGCGAGAAGCCACGCGAGAGAAAGATATCGTGTCTCTTCACTCAGATGCTTGCTTCAAGATTTTCGCCGAGAGCCTTGTACGCGGGCTAACTATTTTAGCACCAGGAACATCTGTTTTGTAGTTTACAAAATATCAACAAAAACTGAATCAATACAAACCGATATATCTTTCAGTGTGTCTTGCAATTTACTTAACCAAAAGGCAGCTACCTCGAGATCCTTAATACAGGCAAGACACCAGTAAGCTATGATTACTAAAGTTAAGGCATATATTTGAACTACGGATGAAGACGTGAATGTGAAAGCGATCTTCGCAGTAGTGAACACTTCTTGAACAGTGGTGTACTAGGGCCTGAAAAAAATTCAGGCCAATAGTGGATTTGAACCCATGACCTTTGCGATACCGGTGCAGTGCTCTACCAACTGAGCTAACATGCCAGTTGGGAGCTGGTCATTATTTTGGATCAAAATAAACCCGTGAAGTGGTGAATAAACGACTGTGAATATTGGAAAGTCATATCTTTGAACTGCGGAGAAAGACGGGGATATGAAAGCGAACTTCGAAGTAATGAACACTGCTTGTGCAGTAGTGTTCTTAAATGCAGTGTTCACTACCTGAGCAGTGGTGAACACTACTGCTTAAGGCATTCCCTTCACAGAAGCATTGTGCTTGTTGCGGTAATTGATGCAAAAAATTTGGACGTAGGGAAAAGTAAATTAATACACGAACAAGCAATTGGGAAGAGAACGGTAGACATTGGTTGAAATCAGCCACTTATTTTAAATCACTTGTTCCTACCTGAACCTACTTGAACAAGAACACCATACATCTTAGAAATTGCCTTTGACATTTGCAAATTGACCGAATACTGGCTCTTTGCCCCCTTGAAATCGGTCGGATACGGGCACGCTGATCTTTGGCGCCAGAACTTCCCATTAGAGTGCCTATGCTTTGCGTACACTGAAACAGACAATGTCCTGAACTCACAGAGTTCAACAAGGGGCATAAGAATACGACAGCATGTAAAATTTATCGCGAAAAATACGGTCACTCGCTCGAATGTGATGTCCACAAGGCCATCCTCTCATGTTTTTCAAGGTTTGAAGGAGTTGAAAGACCTTCATCAACCGTCGCTATCTTCTATGAAATCTGCAATGGAAACTATCACTCAGAATAAAACGTGTCGTAAGAGGAAAAGAGACGAAATGAGTGATTCGTACTAATAAGGCAACGAGGAATCCATTGCTAAACAGAGAGGTGCCAAACTCTCCAATTCTTGAACGTTTGGACCATGTTGTTGGAAGTTCTCAATTGGAGACAACCCTAAGCAAACCAAACCTGGTACACGTGAACATGAGCTGGAGTTCCCAGGTTATCCTTCAGATGCTAGTCTGTGTGTTGTTGTTATTATAAAAGAATATTTGGAAATTACCAAACACCTTCGTAAGGGTATCAAAAGTCTATTTGTTACATATGTTAAACCATACAAAGCAGCTAATAAGAGTACTGTATCTCGTTAGATTAAGAGCACTTTAGGTCTGGCTGGTATTGACATAAGTCGTTTTAAACCTCATTGTGTTAGGGCATCATCAACCAGTGCAGCTTCACTGGCTAAGGTACTTCTTGATGCCATTCTCCGAACTGCTGGTTGGTTAAGACACTGCACCCTTGCAAAGTATTACAAAAGATAATCCAAGAACATGAGAATTTGGCAGAAGTTGAAGTTTGATGGTAATTCTATTGAGTCATCATAAGGTGCCAGGAATCACATTCCTACCCTTACTTGCTTATGATCGTGAAATAAACCCCCCCCAATTTAAGATTTGTTTGGGTTTCAAAGTTCATTTCTGGGTTGGATTGCGCAATCTTATGTGACTAGCACCTCATGATGACTCAATAGAATTACCATCAAACTTCAACTAATAGGCAAGTCTCGTTTAACTCTTAGTTTATTGAGCTACTTATGTAAAACGGTCGGAGTTTGCTCAATGACCTAATTTGATAATTGTCTGTCACGCTAGCAAAATCGCTGAAATTTTGAAGTCACCAGGGCGAAGAAAAATAATAAGTGCAAGATGTTTTGATATTTCTCTGCGCCAAACATCTTATTAGAAGAGATCAAGCGGAGATTTTGATGGTTTGATCTGGACTTGAGAAACAAGAAAGAAAGAGTACTTTTGACCAATTTCAGAAAGCTGTCAAACGAGTGTTTTTAAATAAATTATGACGATCCTCTGAATAAACGAATATCAAAATTCAAATTCTTTTCATACACCTTACATGTCACACAGTTTAAGAATAAAAAATATTTTTTTTTCCTGCATGCGGTGTGATACGAGGACCAGGCTTTTCAACTTTTGAAATTTTCGATTTTGCAAGAGGTCAAAAAAGGGCCTTTTGCAGAATGGCCTATTGAGGGCTCAAAAAATTTATTTTAACGTATTTGGAGAAACTAACGTGGTTTTATTTACTTGCTACTAAAGATCATTTATTGGGCAAAGTTTGAGGGAAAACTTTGTTCCGATGCAAAATGCCCTGAACCGCTCTTACACAGACCGAAAGTATTACATCTCGATTTAAATTGGAAGTATTGAAAAGGATCTTCCAAAGCAGAAATTGTATTCAAAAGTTTTGGTCTAGAGTATATTGCACATTCAAGGAACCACCGCGAAGAAAAGAACATGTTTGTACCAAACATAAGATAAAGAAATTCTCATTAAAAGCAATACAATATGACATTATGACAGTAAAACTGGCGATATAAAAATATAATACTTCGATCATGAGTAAAAATATGGTTGCGTTTAATTAGTTTTCATTCTTTTAAAATTCAGGCTTTCACGTTTGTACTTTGGTTAAAGCCGGTGCCAAGCTAAAAGTAGAGACAGAGCGAGATTTGTATCGAATACAGAATAAAATCTCTCAGCGAAACCTCTGATACAAAACACCAATGAAATAGCAAGTAATTACAAGATTTCACGCGAAAAGTGATATCTTCACACGCTAAAGATAACATGTTCGCTCACTCGTGAAATATTTTTAAACACTGGAAGACGAATTTCTTATCTCTGCATGGCGATGTAATATCCTCTAATTCATACTCAAGGTTTTTTTCTTGTTCGAAATTTTAGAATATTATTGGCCGAAGCGGGTAATTTGTGAATTGACTTTATTAAGGTGATACGAATCTTGGCTCATTAATGGAGGTCATCCCGCTCAATTAGTCCAACAAGGAAAGAGTTTATTCATGGAGTGCTGCACGAATCAATTTCGTGTTTACATGTAGGAAGTTTTAAATTTCTTGAACTCATATTATTTTTTCTTGGGAAAGATTCTGGAAGTCGAAAAGTGAAGTGTTTTCTGGGATAGCTGAGCTGGAATTTTCTTTTTGGTACCGTAATTCCTTGAAATCAGTTGAAAGTTCACAACTACACAAAACCAATTTTCAATTTAGATTTAAAATGCTGTTCTTAATTCACCTCACGTCGTTGTTCATGCCATACTGAAAATTAACAATAGCAGCGATCCCCTTGCAATTCTAAAACTTCAAGGATTCTTGCAACAGCATGTTCTTCCACTTGAAACTTCAAACCTTCCTTATCAAGGTTGTCTGACGAGGCAGAGATCCACAAAATGGCTCTAGGGAAAAAATCAAGTACTACTTGCTATTATCTCGCTAAAATGAGAGGTCAACTGAGAGATACTGAGTCTTCTGCTTTGACGCCCTGGTAACCTTGCAGACCGGAGTAAATCTAACGGTAGTAATTTGGGTAGACTCCTTTCTTTGTCTTTACCATTCAACCCCAAAGGTGAAATTCGTATTTCTCCGATCAAACAGCAATTTATTTCGTTACGAAGAAGTACAGAGAGTTTCAGGACTGTTATTGATTGCTAACATTTCGAGTCGATAAGTTCCCTGTTTTTTACGACAGGCCCGCCGGTGGGAAAGATTGGTCATATGCGCAAGAGTGTTGCCTTTGAGGCTTTCAAAGTACAAACCATTTCAGTCCACAAAATGAAAGAAATATACACTATAAGGCCACCGAACGAGGTAACAAGTTCAAAATGGAAAAAACATGAATATCGGCGATAAATTTTCGCATTTTCACATATATCGCGCCAAAATGTGAGTTGATTGTAATACATATGACGGACAATTTAAAGACTTTAGGCAAAAGTAATTAAGATGCCGCAAGAATTATAATTCTCGCTCAGTTTATCTGAGAGAGAAATGTTTTTTCTTTCTATTGAGCACTTGTTTTATTTGACTCACTGAGACATTCAATTGTAAAAAGTAAACTATGTTGATATTGACAATTCACAATGGTTATGATTCCCTTGTACTCCTCAAACTTCTAAGATTCTTGCCACGGCATTTTCTTGCGGTTAAAACTTCAAACCTTCCTTATTGTGGTTGGTCTTGACGAGGCGGAGATCCACAAAATGGCTGTGTGATAATAAAAAAAATTAAGAACGATCCGTTATTTTCTCGTTGAAATAAGATGTGTAGATATTGAGTCTTCTACTTATGCTCTAAGCCCAGGTAACAGTTTCTAAACAGTGCGTTCAAGCTGAAATCATGATTGTAAACGATCAAAATAAAATCTGAGAGGTGTCCACAGCTGGAGCTTTATCAAGCTTGGCAATTGTGTAATCCGATGCTACCGGAAAGTAATGATCACATAATTCGGAAATTTAAGCGAGTTTAGGCCAATGAAAGAACGAGCAAATCTCGGAGGCGACTTTCAACATTCGAATACACTGCTTCTGAATATATTTTGCCAACCCATAGTTTGTACTTCAACGATGTATGTGTCACCCAACAGTCATTTGCCCATTTTAGTTCAGACAATATTTCAGTCGACTCTTTCGTCGATAACTAACCTTTCAACCTCAGGAATGAAATTCGTATTTCTTTGAAATAGTGAGAATTTCCTATCACTGTCAACACCTTCAAGAAGTTAAGTGCGCCGCTTCTTATTACGTAATTTCATAATACATAACAGTTGGTGACTTTTCAGGGACTCGGGAGGGAAATCCATCAAGATCAAGTCAGATACATGTCTGTACACAGCAGTCGAGGCCAACGTAATTACCTGTAATTGTTTTAATACCGACATCAGCAATTTCACTCCTTCAAACATCAGGTACATGATAGTGTCTTCCCTGATTATTCCTTCACAAGGAGTCATTTTCTCCGAGGTTGGTTCCCAGCCATGCGTCCTGTTTTGCATGACAGGCCCGTCGATGGGAAAGTTGCCTCTTTAAAAATTGGTTTTGTGCACGAGAGGGTTGCCTCTGAGTAAAACACATTTCAGAACATAAAATGAGTAAAACATAAATGAGCAGCTGTGTAAGAAAAATTTTGACTCCACCCACAGGCGGCCCAAGCTCCAACTGTGATATGATTATCTTGCGCAGTAACAGTCATGGCGGAATTATAAGAATTTGTATGGGACTGTACGACCGCTCTAAGGAATGAACAAAAACGTCAATTTCTTAATAAAAATACCTCACCTTACTTCCACAGCGTATCGCTTGTTATCTGACCGCTTACTTTGATGAAAAAAACCCATTTTGGCGAGTTGTCCATTTCGGGGTTTTCTACGTACATAAGAAAAGCCCTTACGTACATAAAATCAAAGTGTTCTGTGAGCAAACTCGTGAAGTGACATATGATTTTTTGGATTATGTTTAATGTTATCTGGTTTAGGGAATTTTGTGGTCGATTGTCATATCTAGAGTACGAGCAGTAGTTCAGTGTTCGCTAATGTAGCAAAGAAACAAAGTAACGTTGGGATAAGAAGGCATTACAATTGAAATGACAAGGGTGGATGATGTCATGTGTTTTAAACGTATATCATTTTTGTTTCTGGTTCAAAAGAAAGGGTTGGAAGTAAATGTGGGTGAAAAGTGAAATTTACTGTCTATCATTGTAAATATTAGAAAATCAAGGCAATACTTTCTTAATGAAAACATTAACGATTCCCTCTTTATCAAATGAGACAAACGGGAACGAGTTTTGAGTGATATAACTAAGCCAAGACTGCCACCGTCATTTTGGATCTCCGCCCAGGTAGATTTTAGTCACGTGCTAGGCAACGTATAATAAATAATAAGATAGAATTTAATTTCAGGCCTATTTATCAATTTTGTGGTGTATAACTTTCGCATTTTAGTACGTAATATGTATTTTGAATCTTCAAATTGTCTTAAAACTTAAAAGAAAATTGTTCTTTAAAAATTCACTGAAAATCGGTAGCTAAAATTGTTTGTTTAGGTGTTATTTGATTTTCGTGTTAACTTATAATTTCGTCAGTCGCCGGCATCTTTTGTTGCTTCACACAGGTAAAACACTCGATACGAAGCGTAATGATCGATTTTGTCCTCAATCTCAAGCCATAACAGAAAAAGCTTTCGAACATCTGTAAACTCCGAGCGCTTCGCAGTAAGTGATATTTTCAATGAATCTTCGGATTGTTTTCAAGTTCAAGGTTGTAAATTACAATTTTATGAAAAACGAAGGTTGTTCTGTTATTTCAGTGTGAATCCTTGCATGCCTGCCAGTCGCTGGCGCCGCTAGCTGAAACTAAAACGAAAAAAAAAATTCTTTTAAGATTATCATTGGCTTCTTTTTCATCCCACCACTATTCTTAGCAACAAAGGTCGCCATTTCGTTTGTTTATTGCTCGCCAAAAACTATCAAATGCACTCACGAGTTAAAAAGGGAGACGAGACGAGTGACAATCCTCGTAATTATTTTTCGAACCGCTACCTCTGTGGGTGATATGCAACGTTTCAATGAATTGGCAAGTTAAGGCTAAAATCGTTTACAAGGCAGAGTTTCACGATTACATGGTGTAATGTAACGATAAGGTTTGAAAACTTGATTGATCGAAAAATAGTAATCACCGAGTTGCAATTCGCTTACTTGCTTTGAATGAGACATCTTGAGATCCACTTTACAACCATAGACGTGACTCTTGCCTAAGCGGGAAGAGTATTTACGCGGCTATGAAATGCAATGTCCTGAGACTAAAAATGACCCACTTTGACACTTTCCTGAATTCTGTTTTGTCTTGTGCTACCTAAGGCTCAACTTAAAGAAACCAAAACCACTTAAATGCACCACTACGTGCACCAGTTTGGAGGATTCCCCCTAAAAAAATTTACCCGTTTCCGCTCCGCATTATGTAACCATACGGCAAATTATACAACTACGTGATGTATCTGTCGAAGCTGGAGTTGAACAAGTCTGCTACGTGAATAATGTTTTAATAAAAACGCCTTATCATACTGCAAAATAAAGGATTTTTGGCTGTACAAGTATAATACAGGTATGTCTAATAGACAATTTCAAAAAGGTACGTGACGGATTTTTCGTTAATTGTACCGCTGTAATCCAGTTTGTAAAAAAGATTCTTCATTTATCTCTTGACTAGACTAGATATTGCTGTTACTGTTTGGTAAATTCCATTTCGGTCTTTCAATTTGGTTGCTGTTTTTCTCCGATCTATCATCAAGGCTCTTCTGAATACTCCGTAAATTTCACTTTTACACTAAAAATATTAGGGTTACTTTTAAAAAGGTTTTTAATCCTATAATTTTTTTTAACGAATAATTACTTTCTAACATACGTGAGTAAGGTGTTAAAAATTTATTGGACTGGAAGGATACTGATCTTTTACAAGTATGCACCAAAACAGTGGATAGCGTTGAAGGCGCGTTCTGACTGGCTACTGCACTCTGATCCTTTGTTATTCTTTAAAGGATACTTGACGGCTAAAAGGTCACTTTCTCGGAATACCGTCTAAACGCCTCAGATAACACATTGAACAGATACAAGGTGCTTGGAATGCCTCTTTGTCGAGAAAGCGGTCCTAATCTGCCGTAAACGCTTCGATTTTGATCATGTGAACTTGTACGTCACGCGTGTGTACATTAAGCAAAGTAAATATGACGGATAGTAATTCGAATGAAAGCAGTTCTATTTCTGGGTCTGATTATTCGGATTTTGAGGCCTCTATGGAGGGTGAATGTAATGAAGGGGCTTAAGAACCTGTTAGTGAAATCAGGTCCTCGCGATTTGAACCGCCTGGACGAACCTAAAATAGAGCGCGAGAGTCAGAGGAGGACCATGGGCCCTTGAGCCGCGGCCGCTTCAATAGTACATTCAATTAAGTACAATACTTCAATTAGTACAAAGTGTTAGTGTGGAGACTGCCAATCAATGTGGAGGGAGAAAGAAAACATCTTTTGTCAAGAAGTAGATGTAGTCAAAAATAAAAATTTGGAGGATGTTACAGTGGAACAGTTGCAGGCAAAAGCCAGATGTATTGTCCAGCATACAGCGTTAGGAAAAACTGGTGAAGGCTGACTCCGTTTGCATTTTTTTGGTACAAAAAATCTTTATACAGCACTTCCCTGGTTTTCGTTTTCTTCATTTTACATCCTGTTGTTTTCTGTCCATATTGTAAATGTCATCACGGCTAAGAGGGGTACGGAATTGGATAACTTGAGCGTGAACATAGATATGTTTTAAAGTTCAGGTCGTAAATTGAGAAACATTACGTGCTTGTTATTTCCGTAGCACGAGTTTGTGGCTGACTCGGTTCCTTTTTATTATCAAAGCACTGCGTTCTAATCGGTAGGATCTCTGGCTGTCGGCTTGTTTTAGATACGATAGATGAGCGTGAGTAATTTACTGTTCACTCAGCTGACAGTTGTACATTTTTGAAACGAGTAACCTTTCATTTAACTTAGGCGCACGAATGTGCTATATATTAATGCTGCTCAATGTTAGTTGTAATCATTCCTGGAGCACTGTCAGCTGGAGACGAAACGTGTCGACGGAAATTAAAAAAAAAAGTTACAGCAGCAAGAAGTCTTCCTTTGTGCTGTTCACCAGTCTCCTTAAAAAAAAGTAAATAAAAAAAGATAATTCTTGTACATTTCCGGAACGTGAAAGAAGAGTTTCGTTCACGAAACCAGATGGCGACCTCCATAATCCGCGACAATACTTAGCGCTTAGTCACGCTCACTCCAGAACCGATGGGTCTGAGGTCACAGTGATATACACCGGACAAAATCTAAAGTCCAATACTTTCCAGCATGGACTAAACATATCTCTATAAGTATATGACTCGATAATGGTTAGGAAGAACAAATTATGGGAATATATTTTTTTTTACAGCTGTTTGGAATGGCGTGCAAATAACCTGTGACTCTGAATACAGAGAACCGACCCGTCGCCTTTCAATTATTCAACCTTCGTTATTTAATTTCTACCTTCGTAGTTCATAGTCTCTAAATAGTGGCCTATATCAGAATGGAAAAAAATTTTTTTCGTTAGTAAATTGCGGCAGCAGCCAAACAGGGAGAGCGAAATTGTTACGTTCAGGTTTTGACATGACGCTTTTCACTACCTTACACACGTGTGACGTACCACATCAAGTGACCTGGATTGAAACGTTTTCAAAATGGCCTTCAAGGATAACAATCAATCAATCTTTATTGTACTCAGCAGGTAATTTAAAACAAAGTTCAACCAAGTATGAATATTTACTAGTTCATTGTTTGTTGGGATTCAAGGACTTTAAGATTTTTGCGTTTATAAAACAGATTGGCATCATCTGCATATAAATGAAAATCTCGAATTTCAGAGCAGTTACTTAAATCATTGATATCTACAAGAAATAATAGAGGGCCGAGAACTGAGCCTTGGGGAACACCACAAGAAACAGGATGAGGATCAGACTCAGTTTGCCCCAAGGAAACATATTGATATCTGTTGGTAAGATAGGAGATGAACCAATCTTTGGTAACACCACGAATGCCATAATAATCTAGTTTTTCAATCAAGATATTATGATTTACAGTATCAGAGGCTTTAATGAAATCCAAAAATTTACTTCAAGAAAATTCCTGGCCGTCAATTGCATTTTGAATCAAGTCAATGATGCTTACGATAGCATGATCCGTGGAGTGTTTCCGCACGGAAGCAGAACTTCTTACAATAAATTACTTTTTTCTTCTCCAAAAATTCTAAATTTTTTTATTCATTAACTTTTCTAACAGCTTGTGGAATAGATAGGGAATAGAAATGAGACGATGATTAAACTTGTTTGCACGCCCTTTTTAAAAAACAGGGTAGCTTTAGCTATTGTAAATAAATTAGGGACAATTCCAGTAGAAAAAGAAGCATTGACTATAATTTCTAGAGGTGCAGAGATAACATGTTTGGTAGCTTTTAAAATAGCAACTTATTTATTTATTTATTTAACAACTTTATTGGGTACGTCTACAAGCTCAAAATGAATGCATATACAAGGAAAGAGACAAAAAATGGATAGACATACGCCAAAAGGGTCAGTGCGAACGGGACATGGAGTCCCATGCGGGGCACTACCCTTAATAAAAACGAAAAAAAAAAAAAAAAAAAAATGTAAAAACGTACGGTGAAAAAGTGCTAGATAACTAAAAATCAATGACAGGGACACGACCTAACAATTGACCACGTGCACGGACTATTAACATCAAAAACTGAACGGACAAGAGAGAACATGTGTTTAGCTACAAAAGTTTGAAAGGCGGTCGGGTTAGAAAACTTGGACGGGGGTGATAAGGTACATACGGAGTTCCAGAGTTTAACAGTTCGGTTGAAATAGGAGGCCTGAAAGGTACTTGTTTTACACGAAGGTGTTGTGAGATTGAAGGAATTACTTCGTCTGGTGCGGCCGTGGGAAATAAAAGAAACAAAGTTAAGGATGTTTAGATCCGTGTAGTTATTCAGACATTTGTAAAGAAACACAAGGTCCTTAAGTTCGCGGTCGTAGGCGAGAGGGAGCAAATTCAGCTTGATAAGCCGGTCTCGGTAGCTCATTTCCCCAATTCTGGTGCCTAGAATCCATCTTGTTGCACGTCTTTGTACTCTTTCAAGCTGACTTTTGAGACTGAATTGGGCTGGGGACCACACTTGCGTTGCATAGCACAGTTGTGACTTTACCAAAGCCAGATAGAGGGACCGCCTGACTGAAACATCGGTCAGAAAAGGGCATGTACGCTTTAGAAGCCCAAGTAGCTTGTTGGCTTTTGCGATGATGGTATGGACATGTGAATCCCATGAAAGGGAGCTAGTCACAATAACTCCGACATCCTTCTCACTTGTGACCCGCTCAAGTTGTTACTGGTATGCTGTAAGGCCCAGTAGACTTATTAGCATTTAGCACAATAATTTCATTTTCAATTTCAATTGTTGTTGTGGGAAATAGAAAGAAACTGTCTTGAGGTGGGGCTGTTAGATACCGAATGGAGGATTTATTTACACGAGGAATATTCTTTGTCAAATTATTTCCAATATGAATCGCTCTGACGAAGGGCTAACGCTCGAAACGTGAGCTTTTTTACCCTTTACGGTGGCTAATTTACGTTTTCAACCCAGTTGTTAACACTAAATTACCTGCTATTTCCAATATTAGCAAAGAAATTATTAAAAGCATCAGCCATTGACTTAGAATCATTTATTTCAACATCCTCAACAAGTAATTTATTTAATTTTTACCTTACGTAGTTATCCATGGCTTAGATTTCATTCTTTATAAACGTTTAGAGAGTTGTATGAGAGGTATATGAACATCAATTATGCCTTTATGAAACTCTAGTGTAAAAGGAGTCAAACATTATATTAAGATCAGGATTAGTGTGTAATACACCTTTCTCCGTTCGCTTTCCTTTTACTCGGAAGACGATGGCTCGTTGATATATCCTCTCTTTTCAGGTCAAGTCCAATCTTTCGACCGAGCTCCACAACAATTTCGTTCGTATCTTCCCGTGTGCCACTAGAAATCTTTGGAATACCCCGGATTTCCATGCAGTCTCGTCTCGAGTATTGTTCAAGTTCGTTAAATGATTCCTTTAAAGCTTTTAGCTGGTTTGTAGTATCCAGGAGCTTACCCTTCAGACTCTTGATCTCATTAACCAGTTCTGTCATTCCTTTTTCGTAGGTTGATATTTTTGTTAGTAGTTGGTAACAATCAGACAGTTCGGGCCATAACCATTTCTGGATATCGGTTTCGAGCTTTGTGATTGGGTGAGATCAAAACCAAAACAAAGCAAATTTGGCCGAGAGGTGCTGGAAACAAGAAGAAGCTGATTTTTTTTTTTGTGTGGCGGCCATGTTGTAATGCAGTAGTAAGTTTAAACAACATTGGCTAATAAGGACTGGACGTAAGATACCATTAAAAATATTCGTTTATTTCAAACATTCAACATGCATGTCCTCGACATTCTCGCATTCTGGAAGAGTAAAGCGGATTCTTTCTAGCACAAATTCTTTGTAACGCTGTGGTCCTTCCACCAAGAGCGTCACAGGAATAAAAGCTCCTCCGCCAAACTGTTTGTATCTGGAGAACTTCTAGGTAGAACTTGGCCTCGATGTTACTCTCCGTTCTCCGTTGATTTCCCTATTTTGGGTTACAAGAAAACCAATTAAATAAGGTTGAACCAAATAACGCACACTGATAACAATTGAGACAAGTGAGGTGTGAGATCGCGGAATCGGGACAATTTCATTTCTCTCCAGTATAGGTCGAGGAAAGACAATATCTTGCTTCTCTCCGATTTTTAAATAGACATTATCAATTTCAGTCCATCAAGCCTTTACGAAAAAGTAACAGTAAAGCAAGAAAACAGTAACTTACCCTTCAATTCCTGGTTATGTATGTTTGTATGTTTAGAAAGTGCTGAACCGTGCCGATCTGCTGCTTTAGACGAAAATTTCACTCTCATCAGTTCGTGTAATTAGACTCCAACCTTTGTTTCCGGAATGCTGTAATAGAGACACTGTGGCAAGGCTTTCTACCAATGTGATTTCTTTATTTTCATCTTCATGCCGCTCTTATCGCACATTTCCCGAATACGATACCTGAAGATGTGAGAGCTCAGTGAACGAATACCTCTTTGTTTTATGTTTGCCCGAAGGAGAACTTACTCGCTGGATAATCACATTTATGTGTTAGATCCGTGGTTTCCTGAAATTATTTTTTAGTGTGCATTCGCCTTGGCTGAATGAATCTTTCTGATGTCAAGATCGACATTGATTCGAAATTTCATCCAGAGCTCCGATGTAAAAGATTCTTTGTTTGTAGCACTGACCCAGGTCCGTGGCAGATTTGTGCCACAAAGACGACAAAGTGTCTCGAGATACTAAATGTGTTCATCCATGCTGTTGGCTTGATCTGAAATTCACAATGTAGGCTTATAAAGGTCCGATAAATAATTGTCTTTTTACTTTAAATTGGCCGGCCACAATGTATGGTTAAAATTTATGGTTTACATGATACTCCGATGGATCTGAACAAAGGAATCCGTCTGGTAGTTTGCACACCAACAGACTTTCAACATTCGTGCACTCGAGCAAAAACCTCGTGCACTCGATTGGAATTTTGACAAATTGGAAGCAAATTTATTCTAGTTTTTTTAGGAATCAAAAAAAATGTTGCAACCTGAAAACCTCAACTAAAGAGAGGTTATTCCTCGATCGAGCCCTTCGCAATATGGACCTCTACCCGACTTTTCATCTGAATTTTTCCTTCTGGTCATCGTGACCACCATCAGTTCTTTGCTTGTTGTGTGTAATTGCTTGTCTTCTGTAATTTTGCAAGATTTCATGAGATATGGGTAGGGAACTAAGTCGCTAGGGCTCGAATATAGTAATGAGTGAGTTTCCTCGATGTCCCACTACGACATCCATGTTGGTGACGTCATCAAGTATCCAGAAATGGTTATGGCCCGGACTGTTAGAGTTCGCAGTGGCGATAGACTTCTTCACTTCATCAATCGATCTGCGTAGAGGCTCTAAAGCCTCCTCCAACAAATTCTTGAATCCTTCTGTCATTAGATCTCCTATAATGATACGTAGATGAATTAGGACAACAGATAACGCGAAAAAATAAAAAAAAAGGAAACTGCAGCTTTGATAAGCTAAATTCACTGTAAATTTAACGAAGCTCAAAAATTACCGCCATCTTTCTCGCTGACCGCAAGGGTAGGGTGTAACACCAAAATAATACAAGATAAATAACAGGAAATAAACTGAAATGTGTCTTCGTGGATAGTAGAGCAAGAGTTTCTAATTTCTCGATGAGAGCCGGCCGCCGATTAAGCGTCAAATAAAATTTGTAGAAAATTTGGTTCTACACATTTTGTCGTTTATTCGCGCATTTAGGATTCATTAACCTGAGAGGAATGTATTTGGACCAAAAAAAAGGGAAAATGTTGACGTTAGTTACCCTTTAAACAACTCGCGCCGGATTTGCGGGCAAAGATATTGATATATTAAGCAGGAAACAAGATGTGTTGACAGCAAAGAAACTTCCTTCGTAACCGACTTTCGACTTCAAAATGATCAGCACGACAAACTTCACGTTTGGGGAAATTGTTGAAGAATTTAACCAATGTCACTTGGAGAAAATTCAACACAAATTAAGCAAGATTACCGCTAGTGGGTATCTTCCTTTGTTGTGTTTTAGCTAAAGAACGAAAACCGTTTTGTTAATTTTAACTAGAGAAAACAACACTCCAACCCTTGTCTATTGTATATGGTAACTTTTAGTGATCTCAAAGGTAGAAAAGAATATAAATTATGCATGAAAACACAAAGATGCTGCGCGCTTCATAAACAGGTTAAAACTTTACGGAGGCACCTTAAAAGTTACATAACCTTATGCAATATTACCTCATGCAATATTATGGAAAAATGGAAAAATCGACCCGCGACAGTTTGCGTCACAGGTAATTTAATTAGGAATTATACTTAGCTTTCACAATAATAACAAACAATCTTTTAGCTGATTGGCACCCGAGAGACAAGTTTATGGATGACACGTCTGCCATAGAAATGCTACCCAAGAACTCTATCAGTCTGCTCAATTCGACCGTCTCTAACATTCACAATTTTTCTGTGGATCACAATATGAGACTAAACCCAATTAAATGTAAAGAGATATTAATTAACTTTATGTTATATCCTAACTTTACTCTCAGACCATTGGTTGTAGATAACAACGGTATAGAACGTGTATCGACTTACAAGATTCTAGGAGTATTCATCGATAGCGACCTTAAGTGGAATAGTAATGTTGACTACATATATAAAAAAGCTTGCAGGTTTTCAATTTTTTAAGTTTTCATTGTATTATAACTCGTTAATTCAGTAAGTTACTACAAGAGAGTTTAATAAACTGTTATTATCATTATAATATTACCTATACAATATTACCTTATGCGAGGTAGAATTACGTAACATTCGGCGGCATCTGGCAAAGTTTGTAAGGAATCCTCTACCCTAAATAAGGGGTTCGTTTGAGATCATTTTAATAACTTTTAAAGATAACTGACAGGGTAGCTCACCGGAAACGCTTAGAAATGTGGTAAAACGCACGCGGGCGTTGAAGGCTTTCTTAGTTCGTTTCTTTCCTTTTTTAACTCTTTGTTTGAATTTACTGTTAAAACTGTCAACGATAGAGAACAATTGTAAGAAAGAAAAGAGAACCCTTCCTCAAAAGCGTGTTACGTAAGCGACAATCACTTACGTCACAGTCTGATTATCTCTCTTAGGCAGATAATTATCGAAATCTTTCAATACCTAGGAGCAACTTAAGCCTATAATTACATAACTGATTAGCCTTGAAACTTACTCTGCCAGTCTTGCAGGCCTGAACTGTGGAATCGCTCGGTTCCGTCGAGTTCCACTTCGGAAAAAAGGCTTTCTTAGTTCGTTTCTTTTCTTTTTTAACTCTTTGTTTGAATTTACTGTTAAAACTGTCAACGATAGAGAACAATTGCAAGAAAGAAAAGGGAACCCTTCCTCAAAAGCGTGTTACGTAAGCGACAATCGCTTATGTCACAATCTGATTATCTCTCTTAGGCAGATAATTATCGAAATCTTTCGATACCTAGGAGCAACTTAAGTCTATAGTTACATAACGGATTAGCCTTGAAACTTACTCTACCGGTCTTGAAGGCCAGAACTGTGGAATTTCCATTTCGGAAAAAGAAAACAAAAACAGTCTGTAATAGTTCTTTAATTACATTATTAACTGATGTTTGGTATATTTAGAGGCTGTTTATGCCATATTGAATCTTAGTGCTTTGTGAGGTCGTTATGAAAACAGGTCACGTACAACGTTGTTATTTTCGGCAAAAATAATTCCCAAGGTCAAAATGGGCGGACAGTCAAGGTTAAGAGATTACTCCAACTGTCGGAAAAGGATATAAATTTTTGTACACGTTATCCGGCGCGTGAGACATATAATTGATCATTGTCTTTTTGGGTTGAGTGGCACTGTATAAATTTGGCAAACCAGGGAGGCTCACCATCAGTTTGGTTCAGCTGCAGGACACACCTCTTAGGCGGTAACAGTGCTCGTTGCTCGACTTTGCGAAGCAGATTTGAAGATGTCTCATTCAAAATGTGTAAGTTAATTGTCGTGTAAATGGCTGATAGAAATGGCGGGTTAAGTGCCTCTCCAAAAAATCTTTTTCTCCTGACGGTTTTTGATAATTTTCTTCCAATGTTCAGGTCTTAGCCGATACCATGAAGATGACATGGCTTATGGAGGGCTGTGTCAATGGTCATGCGTTCACCATCGAAGGAGAAGGCACCGGCAAACCTTACGAGTAAGTTTATGTGAAATAACGATCAACCCGTAAATTCTCCTTTTGCGTGGATGCATTGCTGGTCTAACCAAATTTGGTTATTTCAGTTATGTTTCCTGTGGTTGTTTGTGTCACCTGGCTATGGCTGTCTTTGAAAAAGGGGTTTGTTAGCAAGTCACTTATGTGTTGAAAACCCACCAAAATAGTCATATGCTAGGGATTCGGTTTATGAAAGACTACAATATCGAAAATCCTCTCCATCTGAAAATTTCAGAGGCAAACAAACGGGGACATTCCGTGTTACAAAGGGCGGACCCCTTCCATTTGCCGTTGACATAGTGGCACCGACCTTGATGTATGGATTCAAATGTTTTATGAAGTATCCTGCTGGTATTCCTGACTATTTTAAGCAAGCATTTCCCGAGGGTCTGACATACGACAGGAAATTAACATTTGAAGATGGAGGGTGTGCCACGGCCACCGTGGAAATGAGGTGAGTAATTACTTATTATTTAACTGTTAATCAGCTTTTAAACTCTGAGTTACGTCTGTGAATGATCGAAAACAAAAATCATTTAAATTTTCTTGCATAATCTGCAACACTACACAAAGATTTGGGCTCGATGTGAAAAAGTGAAAATTCACGACGGATTTCCATGATGAATATCATCATGGAAGCCTCAAAAGTGCTGTAATACAGCGACAACCGCTTGCTTTTAAAAAATTATTAGGCAACACTCAGTTTGTACAAATTGACCTAATTTTTTTACATTCGTCACTTTCTTCGTTTCAGGTTAATTTTTCTTTCAACATAGTAATCTAACCTGTTGATTTAGAGGTTTTTTTTCCATTAAAATCTTGTTACCTCGTAAGGTGGACTCAAAATGTATGTTTTATTCATTTTGCGTTCTGAAATGCTTCCTACCTTGACAGCCTCAAAGGTAACACTCTTGTGCACAAGACCAATTTCCAAGGGGGCAACTTTCCCATTGACGGGCCTGTCATGCAAAACAAGACGCTTGGCTGGGAACCAACCTCGGAGAAAATGACTCCTTGTGATGGAACAATCAAGGGAGACACTATCATGTATCTTTTGGTCGAAGGAGGGAAAATGCTGAAATGTCAATATGAAAACAATTACAGGTAATTACGTTGGCTTCGACTGCTGTGTACAGACTTGTATCTGACTTGATCTTAATGGGTTTCCCTCCCGAGTCCCCAAAAAGTCACCAACTGTTATATAACTGTGCATTATAAATTCAATCCATTATTATGAAATGACGTAATAAGTAGCGGCGAACATAACTTATATATTCAGAAGCAGTGCATCCGACAGAGTCACCTCCTAGATTTGCACGTTTCTTCATTCGTCAAATTCGCTTAAATTTCCGAATTTTGTGATCATAACTTTTCAACAGCATTGGATTACAAAACTGCAAAGCTGGATAAAGGTCCATTTGTGGACATTTCTCTGAAATTATTCTGATCGCTTGCGATCATAATTACAACTCGAACGCGCTGTTCGGAAACTGTCTTCATCTTTGTGGTTACCAGGGCGTCGAAGTAGATGGCTCAATATCTATACTTCCTACTTCAGCGAAAAATCACGGATCATTCTTGATTTTTTTTTACTTCAGAGCCAAGAAGGTGATACACGAGATGCCACCGAGCCATTTTGTGGATCTCCGCCTTGTAAAAACCAACCTTGATGAGGAAGGTTTGAAGTTTCAACTGGAAGAACATGCCGTGGCAAGAATCCTCGAGGTTTGAGGATTACTGGGGAGTCACTATCATTGTGAGTCTCTCTTGTACAACAACATGAGATGAATAAAGAAGAGCGTTTTCAACCTCAATTGTACGTCGGTTTTACATGTCTTTAAACTTTCGATTGATTATGAGGAGTTATTAAAGGAAACGAACCAAATCCCTGCTGTTATTATTCGTTGCTTGCAGAGAGTGCGTAAAGTTCGCTTGACAGTTGTCAAGGCCCAAATTTTTCTTACACTGACTTACATGATTGATTGATTACATAATTTTGATTTCAACGTTATAAATCATTCAAATCTGAAAGAAGATATATGAGAATTGGAGTCAAAAAGAAAATTGCAGCTCAGCTATCCCAGAAAACACTTCACTTTTCGACCTCCAGACACTTTCCTAAGAAAAAATAATGTGAGTTGAAGAAACTTAAAACTTCCTACACGTACACACTAAATTGATTCATGTAGTTCTCCATGC